TAATGTTGCAGAAAGACCAAGGTCAACCTGAGTTTTGTTCCTTTGTGGATAATCCATTTGTTCCTCTCAGCTCTTCGTTAGGACTTTTAATTATATGTTGAATTTGCAGCTTTGAATGTGCTACATCTGGACCCTTATCTCTCTGTTCAGCTTGCTTAGTGCTAGGGATGTCTCCGGATGCATGAGGTTATGTGGGAAGCTCTGTGGTGATTCTAGATTCATGCTTTCTGGATTTTCATCTCCATGTGATATTTTCTGATTTCGAACATTACTTGTGCATCTACTGTTTTTATTTATGTAGATCTTAAAAAAGACTCAATGTCCTTGTGGGTCTCTTAAGACTGTGAGTGAAAATTTCTTTTAAAAGTACCCTATTCTTTCAGCAAATCTATTTCAGAAGGAGGAATCCATTTCTTTTGAGGATGGTCCCTCCTTTGCTGCATATTCTATGGATATCCTGCTTTCTCAGGAGGGGCCCGCAGCCCCTATGCCTTTTCACAGGTTCATCTGTGCTTTAAGCAGTAATTTCTCTGTGTGTTTTGCTCATAGATGGGATCCTTTATCCTTTCTGAGTTTTCATTGCTTGAAGAGATTTTCCCACATTTTTATATTGATCAATTTCTAAAATACAGGAGGGAGAAATCAGATCCCCTCCTCTTTTTTTTATGCATTCTCTATTTCCTTTAGATGTTTTTACCCTGTATTTTAAGTGTTTGGCAATAATCAAGTCGTGTTGGGGAGGGATGTGGTGGAGGGGTGGTTGAGGTGAGCCCTTCTCAAGAGGTGATGTTTGAGTTGGGTCTTAAAGACTGAAAAGGCTGTAAGAAGACAGAGCTATGCTTTCCTGGCTCAGTTAACAGCGGGGCTAGTGACTAGCTAGGAGGGTACATGGATAAGAAGAAACGCATGACTTTTTAAACTCAAATGTAGGTACCTTGTTTTTAAGATTCTGTTGTTCCTAATTTTAGCTCCATTTCTCTTACATTTCAAAGTACCAAATGTTGACACCCAAAATTCGATGAGGATATTTTGTCCGCACTGGATAGTCATTTTTAGTGAGAGATGAGCGACCAGGCCCTGGGTGGTTGAAGAACACAACACTGTCTCCATAGGTCGCCCTGGGACTATCCAAGCCATCTGGCTCCTGCCCACAGGGTCCTGTTGAGACCAAAGCATGTGTGGCATTCACAGGATATGTCCTATAAAGCCACCTGCCCTGTCTCATCCTAAGTTTTCTGAACTCAAAAGGCTAAGTGACTGTTTCTCCAAACTGAACTTTCTGTTTCCTGGTCAGTGTTCTCTTCACCTTGTACCCTGGGCCTTGCGGCTGGTTTCAGGGAGAGTTGCTCCCATGTTCTGTATGTGTGCGTAGAACAGGTTTAACTGGTTATTGTTGACCAGTTAACTGGTCATGTTACCTTGCATCAGTGAGTATGTGATATTTCCTTCTTCTTCACTGACCGTCTTTTCTAAGTGGAATCAAAATCAGGTGTGAATGTACTGGGATACATTGCAATCATCTAGGAATGATTTGAAAGGAAAAAAAAAGTTTCTCATACAAATTAAATGAAGATCAGCAGTTTTAAAGCACACGATAGCATCTTGTATAAACTGCAGCTTCCATTTCACATTATTCCTGGTCATGCAGTAGGTTCTGAAGAAAAAAGAGCTATCGCTAATCACTTAAAAGAATGACAGATTCCCCGAGGTGCCGATCAGTAGTAAGACCTAATTTCTATTTCGAGTGTGCTGTGTTGGATTACCATACAGATGCAGCTGAGCACCAAGCATTAACTACAGCCATGTGCCTTTCAGAAAAGTAATATTTATTCATGCTGTGTGGCTTTCCTGCATTTTTTAAAATTTTACTCTCCAGTGAAACTGCAAACAAGATGTCAATAGCTTCTGTGGCATCCGCAGTCGTGTAGCTTGGAATACTGGCTGCAGCAGCAGTGCCATGGTGTATTGGCCTCCACAGAGGTAGGCTTCATCTGGGGCTTTCTGAGGGACAGGCTTAGCATTTAGACACAAATAGTTGTGTGGGGCTTTGTTTTTATTGACCTCGTAGGCTTCAATGCATAAGAAATGACTCTTGCTATATTTGAGTGCAGAAAATCACTGTGGGTGATTTCAGCTTTGAGTTGTGTAATATTATGTCTGTTTGGGAATATTCTTAGTAGCTCAGATATTTGGCATGGTATTTCTTATCCAAACCTTACTGAGTTGATTTTTGAGTATCTTTAAAGTCCATCCATTTTGGAAATCTGAAAACTTTTATCTGGAGGTGGTGATGATGTCAGGCCTGACCTCAGAACAAGTTGGAGACTACTTGTGGCCCACCAACAGCATCCTAGCACTCCTTGCACACCGTTTTGCTGTAGTCTCTGTCTTTCTTTATATTTTGATGTATGGCAGAAGCCAACACAATATTGTAAAGCAGTTATCCTCCAATTAGAATTTTAAAACATAAAGGGGAAAAAATAAAGTTAACAGCAGCAACAAAAAAAAGACTTTTTTTCTTTGTTGCCTACTAAGAAAGGAAACCTAAATCAAGAAGAGCAATCTATCTGTATTTTGAAAGGTTGAAAAGCACGATTCAGTGCCAGATGGTTTCCCGATGACAGAGAAGATCTGAGGAGCCAGTGGGCATGCCAGGCATTCGTCTTGTCTGAGATAAGCTGTACCCAGACTCTTGAGAGTAATTTTCTCAGCATCTGCTGTATGAAATTTTTAGATTAAGTGGCAAGATGGCACCAGAAGAGGATCCTGGAGGGACTTCCCTGGTGGTCCAGTGGCTAAGACTCTGCACTTCCAGTGAGAGGGTCACGGGTTCGATCCCTGGTCAGGAATGTAGGTGGGATGCCAAATCCCCTTGGAGGAGAAAGCCTGACTCAAGAGGACACCCAGTTGCTGCTGTTCCCTCAGCTGGGGAGAGAGGGCTCGATGGAAGGAGGAGACGATGCTGGGCTCCCCTCCCCTTGAGGCCTCAGCCAGCTGATGAGAAACAAAGCCAGCAGAAGTAGGAGGGTCATTTCTGTTAGGACTTCAGCCTCTCGATACGATGAGAATGTTCTGAGTAGTCACTGGAAGACAGCTGTAGCAGACAGACAGACGCACAGCTCATGTCCCCTCCAGCCTGGCTGCAAGGCTGCCGTCCTCAGCTTCCAGCCACCACCACGCTCTTCCCGTCACGTCCCCAGCCAGTGACCCACTGAGGCTGCAGTGTGGGGGCCTGGCCGTCCTCAGGCACGTGGGCGCCTTCAACAGGCCATCTGCTCCCGGGCTCCTGTGGGGCCATACACTCCGAGTGGGGGTCTGGGGCTCCTCTATTTCCTCATTTCTCCTTCACAGAGTCTACTCCCCAGTAAACCAGTGGCACTCCTAACTGTACGCAGGGCCTGTTCCCCAGAGAACTCAGCCTACAAGGATCGTTATTCGTTTGTTATCAAACATATTGAACCTAGCCTCTGTAGATGGAGTAGGAAATGGCAACCCACTGCAGTATTCTTGCCTGGAGAATCCCATGGACAGAGAAATGTGGCAGGCTATGGTCCATGTGGTCACGAAAATTCAGACATGACTGAGCATACATACACATACACTGTAGTAAATTTTTCAATAAAAGAGAAAGTATGAGTTAAAGAATCAGAAAAGGTAACAGAACTATTTACAATTGCCAATAAGCAAGTTAAATGTCCACTGACAGATGGTGGGTATATATATATATATATATATACTCGTACATACATACACACCCTCCCATCAAACACAGTGGCATACTACTCAGCCATAAAAAGAATGAAATATTGCTATTTGCAGCAACATGGATGGACTTGGGGAACATTATGCTAAGTGAAATAAGTCAGATAAGGCATATACTGTGTGACATCACTTATATGTGAAATCTAAAAAATATAATGAACTAGTGAATGAAAAAATAAGCAGACTCATAGATTATTGAACAAATTAGTGGTTACCAGTGGGGAAAGGGAAGAAGGGAAGTGAAATATGGGAGCTGGCGGGGCAGGGGGTGGGGGAAGAGTTATTATGGGATTATATGAAATCCTGTGTGTGAAACTTTTGAAAATTGTGAGGTACTATAGAATTTAAAGAATCTTTCATTTATAAAAAGTAAATCAGAATCAGAAGAAGTAAAGGTTCTTTGTTATATCTACCAGGGATGGTGGGAGGAGAGAGGGTCATAACTACTATCCTAAAACTAATTTTTAGCTCTTAATTTCAAGAAATCCTTGCCACCAGTTCCGTTTCCTTATTCCACGGAGTAAGGTCTCATCCTCTTTGTTCATCTTTCTTCCCACTTCTGTTTCTTGTCTGGAGACAGGTGATGATTTTAATGGAAATGGGAAGTGGAAGGTGAAAAAGAGAAAACTTAGAGAATCTGGCATTTGACAGGTTATTCTTGTTCTATTTAAGCAATGGCTATAATATAGTTACAGTGATCCCTTCAGTTATTTTTTTCCCTTTCCTTTCTTTTGGGGAGAATTAAAGTTGGGGTAGTAATCTCTTTAAAACATTCAGGGAAGGAAGCTTGCTTGGGGCAAGTGAAAGAGACTGTTTCACAGGGGTCCAAGATAAAGTGAAATTTATGCTATTACAAAGTTTTTTTTTTTCCTTTTCTGAAATACATCTATATAGAGATGCTGCATGCTTGCATGCTCAGTCATGTCTGACTCTTTGCAACCCCATGGACTGTAGCCCGCCAGGCTCCTCTGTCCAAGACATTTCCCAGGCAAGAATACTGGAGCAGGTTGCCATTTCCTTCTCCAGGGGATCTTTCCGACCCAGAGATCCAACCAACGTCACTTGCATCTCCTACATCACAGATGGATTCTTTACCACTTGAGCTATCAGGGAAGCCCTCTATATAGAGATATATAGATCTATAGCATGTACTATGGGCTGTCATGAAAATGTGGGACTTCATTCATTTGTTGTTTATTTTCTCATTGCATCTTATTAATTTTCTTTTTTTTTTATAGAAAATATTGCAGTTTCTACCTGAACGAATTTTCTTTCGATGGCATTACCAGAGTATAGGTAAGAACAATTACAAAAATTTTTAATTAATGTATATTTCTTCTAGTAAAATCGCCATTAAGTGATTGTGGATTTGTAATTCTATATATATATATATATATATATATATATAGTGAGAGAGAGAGAGAGAGAGAGAGGGAGAGAGAGAGCGAGCATATTTTTTACACCTCTCTATACCTCTTGCCCACCATAATGAAGACCTAGCACAACCAAAAATAAATAAATATTTAAAAAAAATACCCTCTGGGCTTTAAAGGTAGAGGCTCAATCAGTGAATGTTCACACATGGCCAAAATTTTGTACAGGGATTTTATATATGAGTCATTGAATCTAGTTTGTTCAACTAGATTTTGCTTGTAGATAGTATAAAAACCAGGTGCATAACTAAACTGCAAATCTGCTGATGACTTTTTAAGAGTATCCCTGTGTTGGTCACGCCCCCGGGCTACCCAGTGGCCTCACATTTGCCTGGGAGGGGAACACACCCTCTGAGGCTCATCTCTCATAGTTTCTGTGGCTCACTCCTCAGGAGTCTGAGTCTGAGAAGCCCTCCTGGTTCCCCCAACCCCAGTCAGGCCACCCCAGAGCCCACTCTTCCTGAGGGATTGGGGACTCCCCGTGCACTTCACACCAGAACCCCCTCAGGGTGCACGGAGACCAGGCTGAGCCGACTCCGGGGACCTGTGTGCAGCCTGCCTGCCAAGGGCTGGCTGGGCCTGATGCCATGTCAGCTCACCCTCCCAGCAGTGCCCTCCCAGGGTCTTTTGCCCATCACCCCTCTGCCCTCTGGAAGCCCTCTTCTTGGGTTAAGGAACAGCCCTGCAGTCTCCTAGACTGCTTAAACCCAGGTTTTCTCTGACTATTCTGTCTCCCTCAGAGGACGGGGATGAGATCGTGGTCTTTTTTTTTTCCTGCAAGACCAAGTCCAGACCTCATCCTCCACCCTCTCTACCGAAACCTCTCTCTCTTGACAATGCCACCTTATCCCTTCCTTGTTGCTGGCGTGTCCTCTGATCTTTTGCCCACTTGCTTTCTTTTTAAATGGCTTTCTCTCCCAGTCCTTTTCCTTCCTGGTAAGTTACCCATCAGCCCCTTGACCCCTCACCCTCCGTGGCTTCCTGATTCTCATCTGACCCTTGTCATGACACACATCTCTAACCACAGCCTCCGTCCCGCTGATCTGTCATTTCCAGGCTACCTGCTGGGGTTTTTTTTTTTTTCCCCTCTTTTAAAGAACCACTTTTTTTGGACTATCATTGACATACAACAAGTTGTACATGCTTAATATATATTCTTTGATAAGTCTAATCACACGTCTACACCTGTGTAGCCATGGATGCCGTCACGATGATAATCATAGCCATCACTGCCAAGAATTTCCTCCTGAGCCCTCCCACCCTTCCCTAGCGTACCCCTCAGTCCCCTGATCTGCAAACACCAATCTGCTTTTTGGCCCTATAGCTTGATTTTTTAGAATCTTATGGAAATAGAATCAGGCAGTGTATTCCTGTTTTGTTTGGCTTCTCTCACTCAATATAATTATTTTGAGATTCGTCTGTGTTGGCGCAGATATTAATAGTCCATTCCTTTTAACTTCTGAGTTATACTGTATTCCATTGAATGGAGATACCATAGTTTGTCATTTGATGATGGGCCTTTGGATTGTTTCTGTTAATAGTATTTGGCTACAAATAAAGCTACTGTAAACATTTGCATGCAAGTCTTTGTGTGGACACCTGTTTTCCAATCTTTGAGAATGAAATGGCTACATCATATAAAGACATATGTTTAACAAAGTGTTTGTACCATTTTATATTCCTTCTAGTGGTTTGAGAGTTCCGGTTACACCACGTTCTCATCAACACTTCGTATGATCTGAGTTTTAATTTCAGTGGTAGTGGTACCTCACTGTGGTTGTAATTTGCATTTCTCTAATGACTAAATGATCTTTAGCGTCTTTTCACGTGCTATTTGCCAGCTGTATGTCTTGGTGAAGTGTATCTATGAATCTGTTGCCTGTTTTTTCAAATTGAGGGTGTTTTTCATCCTAATACTGAATTCTAAGAGCTCTTCACATATTTTGGTCATAAGTGTTTTAATCAAACATATGATTTGGAAATATTTTCTTCCCATCTCTGGTTTGTCTTTTCAGTCATAATAGCTTAACTTCAGGGAGTAGATGTTATTAATTTTGATGAAGTCCAGGTATCAATCTTACTTTTATGAATTTTGCTTTTGGTGTCTTGTCTGATGAATCTTTGCCTAACCCAAGATCGCAAAAGATCTGTGTTTTCTCCTAGAGATGGTGTAGCTGTGTGTTTCACATTGAGGTCCTTGATTCATTCTGAGAAAGTTGTTGTTAATGTCAGTTTCCCCCAGTGGACTGCTGCTGCCCTGTCCTTAGACGTTTCCGTGCCGGAAGGTCTGTGCCTCTGCCCTCCTGGCACTTTCAGCAGAGCTTGTGCACCACCCTCTTGGCGTTTCTCCACGTTCTTACCCTTCCTCTGCTGTTGTTCATTGGTTTGAGGCATGATGCGCACACACACAGGGAGGTGTTTTTTTTAATTAAAAATAAAGAAGAATTTTATAATGTTAATGTTAGATTCAAAATGTCTTTGTTATCTTGAGTATCTTTTAAAGACCTTTAAAGGATTGCTACTTCATTGGAAGAGATTTTGAAGCACTGAAAGTCTTGCAGTCAAAAATGAGATAAGCCAAGAAGTAGATTTTTGAAAACAGCAATTAATTTACTTCCATTAAAGTCAGGAAAGTGAAATTACAGTACATTTAAGCTAGTGTGAGTTTTAATACTTTTTCATCTTTCAATATTGAGCTTTCTAATTTTTGAGTATTTTTCAACTACTTTAGTGTACCCATTTGTTCTTTTTACATGTGAGTCAATCTAGTAGCAATCAGTAGGGTTGAAAAGACACATGCAGTGATGGGGTTGGGGATATTTATAGTTTGAATGAAGAGTTTAAACATCCAAATAGGAATGATATGTAGACAGAAACTTTTTGAAGAATGAAATGGATTTCATAATGGTAAAGTAAAAGTATAAATATCTCTGTGAACTTAGGGTCTTTAAGAAATATCTAATGTGGGAACTTCCCTGGAAGTCCAGTGACTGATACTCTGAACTCCCACTGCAAGGGGCCCAGGTTCAATCCCTGGTCAGGGAACTAGATCCCACAAGCTGCAACTAAGACTTCTAATGATTCAACTATAGTTCCTGCATGCCACAGCTAAGACCTGGTGCAGCCAAATAAATAAAAAACAAAGAAGCACCTAATGTGGCCAGGGAAGGATCTCAGATCCTCTTCACTAGTTCTCATGTTGAAACCCTCTGGTATGTGCCTACACTGCACACATTTTTCTTTATAATGTTGTTCTTATTTAAAAAGAGTTCTGAGAGTTTCTGAATACAACAGGATGGACTAGATCAAATATATATTCGTTTTCTTTTGGGCTATAACAAATTAACAGGATCATTTAAAAAAGCAGGGGACTATTGACAGATAATGAGCAGAGATTCCCTGTGTCTCTTTGTAAAGTCTGTCCTTTTTATATGTATTTACTCCTCCCTGTGCAGTGAAGAGTGGATACAGGCAACTATGGGTAGGCTGAAAGTTTAAAATAAAAATGCTCATTTAAGATGGGGAAGGACTGACAATCCCCAGTGGTCACACACAATGACTGGAGAAAGTGTTTCCAAGAATGTGTTGTAAGACGGTGGATTTTTCAGATGTCTTGGAAGAGAGCTGTCTGTGTAGACTTTATCCCCAGTCTCCTGGGAGGTGAGGTGTCTGCTGGACCTGCCAAGCATCACCAGGTCCCCCAAGGCATCATGAAGCAAAAACTAAACTGGAGCAGAATGGACTTTGTCCAGGAATGGATGAACTGGGAGGCGAGGGATGAGGACCAGTCGACGGTTGGGTGTGGGAGAGATAGTCCTGTGAGCATAGGCACTTGAGTCTCAGCTCTAAGAGCCCCACCCAGGCAGTGCTGACTCTGGACCCCAGATCACTGAATGTGCTTTGGTGATAGGAATAGAGGGAAGCAGGCACTTCCTCATTTAATCACAAATCATTGGTAATCTAGTGCTGCAGCCTAGTCACGACAGTGGTGAGTTCCCACTGAGCCCAGTGTTAGGTGTTACAGCAGTCAGACAAGGTGCCTTCAGAAAACCAGTAATTTCCTTCCAGCTAATGAATTCCTAAAGTGCATGCATTTAGCTGACATTCATGAATCTGTCCATGTAGATGGGGCTTCCTAGGTGGTGCTAGTGATGAAAAACCCACCTGCCAGTGAAGGAGATGTAAGAGACGCAGGTTCGATCCCTGGGTCGGGAAGATCTCCTGGAGGACGGCATGGCAACCGACTCCAGTATTCTTGCCTGGAGAATCTCACGGGGGAGCCTGGTGGGCTACAATCCATGGGGTCACAAAGAGTCGGATATGACCCAAGTGACTTAGTGCACACGCATGTCCACATAGATATGACCTGCAGCAACTGTCAAGGCACTGACTGTTTCTTCGAACTATGTTGGTGTTGGAAAGTGATATCCAGTTTTAAAATATTGCACAAAACTCTCCATCAGGAAATCTAAATAATTTTTTTTCTCAAAAAATTGGAAGAAAAGATTAAGACTTCCAGTATATTCTCATTTTAAAAGATTATTTCCTTTTTGAGGTTGAGATCTCATTTAGGGCCCACATGTGATACTGAGGTGGGATTGCCAAGCCATCTCCATGCTAAAGGCATGGACACATCTAGAGAGTCACAGATACACATCTCCATCCTCCTGAGGGAGCCTTCTCGCCCCATAGGCTGTGCTCCGTGGTTTTGCTCTTGGCTGAAGTAGTTCTGACCAAACTTTGAGTCGCTCTCCTCGACAATGACCCAAGTGCTCTGCAAGGTGATTTATCGATGGACTGAACCCATAAATGTGGCTGTCATTGCAAGCAGAGTGGCATGCTGTCCTGAATATTCGTAAAACATTCTTGTAAAAATGTTTTGTGAGCGGTAGTTTTATATTATGTTTTCCTTTAGAGATTTAAAAAAGTCATTCATTTTGTGCCTGACAGAGACAGTTTCGCATAATCAATCCACTGTGGGCATTTAGGTTAGCTTACTATCAATCATGTTGACTCTTTTAAAAGAATTTGGAGAAGTTCATACTTAAAATGCTTTTATCCTGAAAACATCTCTCCTTCCGTGACATTGCTTTGCTTCTGAAGGTCAGCCTTCTTCCTTTTATGTTTGAAAAATGGTATAAGCACATTTTTTTTCTTTCTAAAACCAAAAATAGACCTTTAAAAAATAGATCTTAAATATGCATTCATGTATTCCATTTCTAATTCATTGTTTTAAACTTTCAGGCTCAACTTTAAAGAAGCTTCTACACACTGGAAATTCTATTAAGGTATTTATTTTAGATGCAAATGTAATGACTTTTTTCATTACTTTTAATCTTATTCATACCATAAAGTGACAGCATTAGGCCATTTAAAAAAAAATTCTTTAAAATCCATTTAACTTAGTTTTAGTTTTTTATTGAGAAATGATATGACAAATATTGTTGGAGTTTTTGTTCTTACATCATAATTTACTGTGGTAGACATTTTCAACCTTATCAGGAGAAAGTGGCTTGGGACAGGAGGTTGGAATCCTGATTTTGATTCTGCTATTCAGCTGAGGTGCTGACTGCTTTAGCTTCATTGTTCGAAAGAGAAGGGGTTGAACCAGGTCCTCCCTAAGCCTCAGAGCTAATGTTTCTGGTTCTATACACCCCAGTAATCTTGTTAAAAACTGTAGTTGTCTCTGAATTATTTTTTGCTATTTTTGAGTATGCTTGTAGAGAAAAAGGGCAGCAGAACCTTATTCTTGAATGTTTATTATTCTTTTTTTCAGCAGCAACAGATTGATCTTATAATTTAGGTTAAAATTGGCTTATTTTAAATGACTGTGCCTTTTAAAATGACAGTATACTGTTTAATACCAGAATAATACTTATGACCCTGAAACATAAGTAGCAAGAAAAACCAGGATGTGTATTTTATGGATGATAATTCACTCATAGCTATTTAGTTTATGTGTGTACCTTTAATAAGCTAATATATTTTGGGATTTATATTAGTTTAAACAGCCCCTGACCACTCAAACTGTATAGGTTCATGCTCTCTTGTTGAAAAAAAAAAAAAAAGAGATAAACTGTCTATAGTTTCACAATTGTTCTGTATTTTCTCCTTTCTATTTTAATTAATGGTCTTATAGCTAAAACTTATCAGGTTGTTATCTTCTGTTTATTATTGACCTTATTTATATTTAATTATCTTAATAGCTCAGTTGGCAAAGAATCCACCTGCAATGCAGGAGACCCCGGTTCGATTCCTGGGTCGGGAAGATCCCCTGGAGAGGGGAACAGCTACCCACTCTGGTATTCTGGCCTGGAGAGCTCCATGGACTGTATAGTCCACGGGGTTGCAAAAAGTTGGGCACGACTAAGTGACTTTGACTTCACTTCACTTTAAACACAGTTAACATAAAAAGTTGGAGACTTTATCAAAGTGTCTAGAAACCTTCCTCTTGTTAAATTTGATATAATTTGGTTCGATATACATAGAGCCCTGACATTTTTTTTTTATTGGTCTGGCGCTGAACCGCATTATGTATTCAGCAAAGTCACCACTTACCTGCTGGGCAGGTGTGAGCAGGGTGAGAGTAGGGCGGGGCAGTGCTGAGTCCAGGGCTTGTCTAGAGGGGCTCCCGGGGATCACAGTTGATGGGGTGTCTGTCTTGGTGTATTTGACTTCTCTGGGGAGTCATCTAAGCTTTCACTCCCTCCCCTCCCTCCATCTTCTCCCACATCCCTCCCCCCTCCCTTTCTTCCTTCCTCCCTCTGTCCCTCCCCACTCCCTGTCACTCCATCCATCCCTTCTCCCCCTTCCTTCCCTCCTTTCCTTTCTTCCCTCTTCTCCTTCCTTCCTCCCTTCCATCTCTCCTCCCCTCTTACTTTCCTGCAGACCCTGGTTTGAACCCTGGCTCTTTAGAAATCAACACCACTTTGGTGTCACCAAAAGGGCACCAGGCAGCCTCTCAGTTGCCTGTATTCGGAGCTCACTGCATCTTTCAGCTGCCTCTGACATTTTTTTTTTTCTCCATCTCTTTTGCTTATTTAATCTCTTTTATTGACATCACCTTTCCAGCCATTTAGGGATATAAAAATGCAGTTACCTGTGTTTATGAATTCTGGGAATGGGATTGAAGCTGAAAGTTTTAAGTGCAGAGAAGGAAAAAGGGCACATCTGCCTGTATTGATGCTTTTTCTATGGGTGATGCCGACTATTCGGAGCTGGGGGAAGGCATCAGGAGAATAGGATAGGGAAGCCAGAGGCTGCCTGTCCCCCTCAGCCAGGTCCATGGGGTCCTTTTAGCTCTAAGTGTTCTGATTTTCAAGAATATGTATAATGCAGTGACCGAACAGATTCTGTCCAAAGCACGGTGTAAATCGAGCAAGATTCTCTTTGCATGGTTTTCATGAGTTATTGAGCGTTGATGATCTGGGCACTGTTGCTATGAGGAATAAAATGCAACTACTAGGAAATGCTTAGGTAGCAGTTACTGTGAGCCAGGCAGTTCGAATCCACTTCACCGTATATGACCACTTGGTGATAAACTTTGTTATCACCCCTGCTTCACCGCTGGGGAGGTGAGGCACGGAGAAGTTAAGTGGTCCTCCACATTCACAGCTCAGCTAGAAAGCGGCTGAGGCTGCACTGGAGCCCAGCCCCTCCGGCCCTCATGCTGGGCTGCAGTGTCCTTGCTTCCTGGTCACGCAGGGAAGGACTTGGTGCAGGACTTCAGTGATGCTTTGAGCTTCTAGATCTGTCCCCCAAAACCAATGCTGCACTGTAGTACATTTATACAAGTATGACTGCATGTTTCATTTTGCTGCCTTTGGTTTTGTTTTTAGATAAGATGTGAAGGAATCCGGCTGTTTCTTCTGTGGCTTCAAGCACTTCAGACGAACTGTGCAGAAGAGCAGGTGCTGATTTTTGCTAGCCTGGTGCCGGGATTCCCCGCCATCATGTCGTCCAGGGGGCCCTGTACACTGGACATGCTCATCAACCCTGGCCCCAGCGTGGCTGATGGTGAGTGATGCTGGCCCATCCAACAGGCGGAAACTACCCTCCACATTGCAATAAGGGATCCCTCATTCTGTCCTTTTCCTAACAGAAACCTTGGTTTCATGAATGGATTCTATAGAGGAATTGTTGTTGTTCAGTCTCTACGTCCTGTCTGACTCTTTGCGACCCCCAAGGACTGCAGCATGCCAGGTTTTCCTGTCCTTCACTATCTCCCTGAGTTTGCTCAAACTCATGTCTGTTGAGTCTATGATGCCATCCGACCACCTCATCCTCTGTCGCCCTCTTTTCCTCCTGCCCTCAATCTTTCCCAGCATTAGGATCTTTTCCAGTGAGTCAGCTCTTCGAATCAGGTGGCCAAAGTACTGGAGCTTCAGCTTCAGCTTCAGCATCAATCCTTCCAGTGAATATTCAGGGTTGATTTCCTTTAGGACTGACTGGGTTGATCTCCTTGCAGTCCAAGGGACTCTCAAGAGTCTTCTCCAGCACCACAGTTCGAAAGCATCAATTCTTAGGCACTCAGCCTTCTATATGGTCCAATTCTCACATCCATACATGACTACTGGAAAAGCCGTAGCTTTGACTATACAGACCTTTGTCAGCGAAGTGATGTCTCTGCTTTTTAATATGCTGTCTAGGTTTGTCATAGCTTTTCTTCTAAGGAGCAAGGGTCTTTAATTTTGTGGCCGCAGCCACTCTCTGCAGTGATTTTGGAGCTCAAGTAGATAAAATCTGCCACCGTTTCCATTTTTTCCCCATCTCTTTGCCATGAAGTGATGGGACCGGATTCCAGGATCTTAGTTTTTGAATGTTGAGCTTTAAGTCAGCTTTTTCACTCTCCCCGTTCACCCTCATTAAGAGGCTCTTTAGTTCTTATTCGCTTTCTGCCATTAGAGTGGCGTAATCTGCATTTTCCTGTTTTATAGACATTTGAACTGACAGAACTGGAGCCTGTTTTATATGAAATGATGACAGGAGAGATTTACTGGAGTGGAGGAAACAGGAGGGGAAGGGAGGGGACAGCTGTTGGCAGGAGCAGAGACACATGGTGTGTCTGGCTGGAGCAAGTGCTTTTGTTGCTGTTCATGAGATTTAAATCCACATCCCAAACTGCTGCCTGTTTTCCGTACAGCGATTGTTTTATAAGTGGGTGTTCATTTGCTCCCCTGGCTCTTTTTTAAAAAATATTTATTTATTTGGCTTGTTGTCATTCAACTGATGAAGTCGTGCTCAACTCTGCGACCCCATGGACTGCAGCACGCCTGGCTTCCCTGACCTTCACTGTCTCCTGGAGTTTGCTCAAACTCATGTCCATCAAGTCAGTGATGCCATCCAACCATCTCATCCTTTGTCGTCCCATTCTCCTGCCTTCAATCTTTCCCAGCATCAGGGTCTTTTCCAGTGAGTTGGCTCTTTGCATCAAGTGGCCAAAGTAATGGGGCTTCAGCTTTAGCATCAGTCCTTCCAGTGTGTTCAGGGTTGATTTCCTTGAGGATTGACTAGTTTGATCTCCTGGCAGTCCAAGGGACTTTCTCCAAGCATCACAAGAGTCTTCTCCAGCATCACAGATCAGAAGCCTCAGTTCCTCAGTGCTTGGCTTTCTTTATGGTCCAGCTGCATAGGATCTTATTTGTGGCACACGGAATCTCCATTTTGGCATGCATGCTCTTCATTGCAGCCCTTGGGCTCAGAAGTTTCATTGCTTGAGCTTTGCCCCGTGGCATGTGTGATCTTACCTCCCCAACCAGGGGCGGAACCCATGTTCTCTGCGTTGGAAGGCAGATTCTTAACTACCGGACCACCAGGGAAGTCCCTGATGCTCCAGGCTCTTTGTCACCAGGTGTGTATTTTCATGCAGTTTTCATGGAAGGACAGTGGTGGCCTCATGGGAGTATTAATGCCATCTTTTGAGCCCAGGGAGTTTTCAAGGAACTTGCCCATCAGGGCCACTGATTTGTCATTGCGGATCACTGTATCGCCCAGTGACAGGTATTTGACCTTGGGATGGTCTGAGCAGAAGGTGCAGGGGCAAGGAATGGTCCAGTGAAGGAGGTGGCTTTGTGGGCATCTGTCCCCTGGTCACGTGGCCTGACCTGCGGTGTGGGTAGTTCCAGTGCTTGGTACATGTATTGTATTTTGCTGTTTTATCTTACTTTACCCTTTAAAATTTTTATTGGAGTAGAGCTGATTTACAGCGTTGTGCTAGCTTCTGCTATACGGCAAAGTGAGGCACTTCTTAAAAATTTTTAGTTGGAGGATAATTGCTTTACAGTGTTGTATTGGCTTCTGCCATACAGCAATGTGAATCGGCTACAAGTATATGTATATCCCCTCCCTTTGGAGCCTCTCTCCCACTGCACCCCCCATCCCACCCGCCTTGGTCATGTTAGCACCGAGCTGAGCTCCCTGCGCTTTACGGCAGCATCCCACTATCTGTTTTACACGTGGTAGCGTACGTATGTCAATCCTGCTATCTCGGTTGGTCCCACCTTCTCCTTCCCCACGTGTCCACCTGTCCCTTCTCTCCATCTGCATCTGTTCAGGCCTTGCAAATAGGTTCATCAGTACCATTTGTCTGGATTCCATATAGGCATGTGTATTTTAACACAGGCCATTTTTATTTTTTATTTTTTTATTTTTATTTTTTTTAGGTTGAAAAAATTTATTCTTTTTTTTTTCTTTTTTTTTTTCCCATTTATTTTTATTAGTTGGAGGCTAATTATTTTACAACATTGCAGTGGTTTTTGTCATACATTGAAATGAATTAGCCATGGATTTACATGTATTCCCCATCCCGGTCCCCCCTCCCACCTACCTCTCCACCCGATCCCTCTGGGTCTTCCCAGTGCACCAGGCCCGAGCATTTGTCTCATGCATCCAACCTGGACTGGTGATCTGTTTCACCCTAGATAATATACATGTTTCGATGCTGTTCTCTTGAAACATCCCACCCTCGCCTTCTTCCACAGAGTCCACAAGTCTGTTCTATACATCTGAGTCTCTTTCTGTTTTGCATATAGGGTTATCGTTACCATCTTTCTAAATTCCATATATATGTAACACAGGCCATTTTTAAAGCCCGCTTTGAAATTTAACTTTGGTTAAGGAGCTTTCCTTGTTTCCCACTCTGCAGCGAAGATCCATCCGGAAGAAATCACTCCACTGCTGCCAGCCGTATCAGGGGAGAAGATTGCTGAGGACCAGACGTGCTTTTTTCTTCAAGTACTGTTGAAATACATGGTTACTCAGGTATGAGCGGAGCCATGGATGATTCAGTGATGTTCATGTCCTCTCTAGGGAAGAGAAGACACTGCCTCTTTTCTTCCTGTGTGTCCATATTTTTTACTTTTGTTTTCTCTTTGAAGTGATTTTATGTGAGATTTCACTAAATGTAGAATGTACACTAGGATGCTTCACCGAAGACCTGCCTGCTACTGGGTTTGTGTGTATGTGTGTATAAAGGAAGCAATTCCATCCTCCATCTGCCTCCTTCACTTTCATACAATCTCATATTGTTCACTTCATTTACGACACTTCTCCCCAAACACGTGGGGATCTGAATCACCAAGTCATTCTCTGCAATACCAGTGTCACAGTTCCACTCACTTTCAACCCTGCCTCGCCGAGGTGGTCTAGGATCTCACAGGAAAGTTCTCTGGCCTGTATCCCTCCCGCCCCCACTCACTGCCATTCACAGGTAGCTGGTCCCCAGGTTGCCTGCAGCTTCTGTCCCGTTTGGCTACAGATCACAGGGTCCCAGGACTCCCTCCTCAGGTTCGCTGAATTTTAGAGTGGCTCACAGAACTGCGGGAAGCATTGGTTCAGTTACCCGTTTAGGAAGGGGTGTGGGGAAGCATTGGTTCAGTTACCCGTTTAGGAAGGGGTGTGGTAAAGGACACAGGCGACAGCTGGATGAAGACACACACGGGGTGAGGTCTGGGGTGGGGGGTCCTGAGCGCCGGGGCTTCTGTCGCTGTGCATGGGGGTGCATCACCCTCCTGAAGTGTCCCATGTGTTCAACCCAGACACTCCCGGAAACCCGGGGCTATTGGGATTTGTATGGTGGCTTCTTCATGGGAGAGATGATCAGTTATCAACTCCATTTCCAGCCCCTCTCTTCTCTCGGAACAGTGGTGCAGGCGCACAGGGAGAGAACTGAAAATTCTGAGCTTCCAACAATTGCTTGGTCCTCCTGGTGACCAGCTCCATCCAGGAGCCCCTTCAGAGTTGCCCAGAGCTCTGGTCTCGAAGAAGCGAGCAGCGAGCTAGGGCCTCTGTGCCAGGAGCTAGGGCAGAAACCAGTGTAGCATTTTCTGTTATCTCCCTGTCAGTTCAGTTCAGTTCAGTCACTCAGTCATGTCCAGCTCTTTGCGACCCCATGAATCGCAGCACGCCAGGCCTCTCTGTCCATTACCAACTCCCGGAGTTTACCCAAACTCATGTCCATCAAGTCGGTGATGCCATCCAGCCATCTCATCCTCTGTCGTCCCCTTCCCCTCCTGCCCCTAATCCCTCCCAGCATCAGGGTCTTTTCCAATGAGTCAACTCTTCGCATGAGGTGGCCAAAGTACTGGAGTTTCAGCTTCAGCACCAGTCCTTCCAATGACAATCAGGACTGATCTTCTTTAGTATGGACTGGTTGGATCTCCTTGCAGTCCAAGGGACTCTCAAGAGTCTTCTCCAACACCACATTTCAAAAGCATCAATTTTTCGGCACTCAGCTTTCTTCACAGTCCAACTCTCACATCCATACATGACCACTGGAAAAACCATAGCCTTGACTAGATGGACCTTTGTTGGCAAAGTAATATCTCTGCTTTTTAATATGCCATCTAGGTTGGTCATAACTTTCCTTCTAAGGAGTAAGCGTCTTTTAATTTCATGGCTGTAATTACCATCTGCAGTGATTTGGGAGCCCCAAAACATAAAGTCTGGCATGTTTCCACTGTTTCCCTGTCTATTTCCCATAAAGTGATGGGACCAGATGCCATGATCTTAGTTTTCTGAATGTTGAGCATGAAGCCAACTTTTTCACTCTCCTCTTTCACTTTCATCAAGAGGCTTTTTAGTTCCTCTTCACTTTCTGCCATAAGGGTGGTGTCATCTGTTATCTGAGGTTATTGCTATTTCTCCCAGCAGTCTTGATTCCAGCTTGTGCTTCTTCCAGCCCAGCGTTTCTCGTGATGTACTCTGCATATAAGTTAAATAATCAGAGTGACAATATACAGCCTTGACGTACTCCTTTTCCTATTTGGAACCAGTCTGTTGTTCTATGTCCAGTTCTAACTGTTGCTTCCTGACTTGCATATCGGTTTCTCAAGAGGCAGGTCAGGTGGTCTGGTCTTCCCATCTCTTTCAGAATTTTCCACAGTTTATTGTGATCCACACAGTCAAAGGCTTTGGCATAGTCAATAAAGCAGAAATAGATGTTTTTCTGGAACTCCCTTGCTTTTTTGATGATCCAGCAGATGTTGGCAATTTGATCTCTGGTTCCTCTGCCTTTTCTAAAACCACCTTGAACATCTGGAAGTTCATGGTTCACGTATTGCTGAAGCTTGTCTTGGAGAATTTTGAGCATTACTTTATTAGCGTGTGAGATGAATGTTTGTGACGTTCCCACTGGGCCTACACAGAGCTGGCTATTTGAGGGGGAAGTAGTGTCTCCACAGGTGGGAGCTTTAAACTTAATGGCTTATCCCAGCCTGCAGATTGTGTTTTTTTGTTTAATTGAAAAATAGTTGCTTTACAATGTCCTGTCAGTTTTAGGTGCACAAAGCAGTGATTCAGTTACACATGTAGCCTTTGGATTGCTTTTTTGTGCCCTTTGCAAGATTCTGTAGCTTTGCGTTTGATAATGATTTTTTTTTTTCATGTAGATAATATGGTATGAAATTCTTGCAAGAGACTGTTTTTTTAATTCTTGTGTATTATACATGGCCTCTTTTGCATTTTAAAAAGGCACCTGATTACTTCTGGATAAACATTTTAAGGGCACAAAGAGTGTTAAATCATCACAAGGAACATGGAGAAAAAAAATACAGGAATGATGTAGTGGGGCAAGTTTAAAAGATACCATGAACTTTGATTTTTTTTCTTTCTTGAATATCCAGTAAAAATGCTGTTTTTTTATGTAGTTACTGTTTTGCTTTGAAGCTGTCGTTCTTGGAATTCTTTGAGTTTTAGGTTGTTATTACATGATGGTCAGTGCTATTTGTCAAGTGTTTCATTTAGGATAGGGGTTTTAACAGTGTATCAGTATTTCAGTTGATATTCATTAATGTGAAGTGTAACTATATGTATGTTCTTCCCCACTCTGCACCCCCCCCCCCCCCCCATTATCTGAAGGCTGCAAGCTTGGAGTGGAAGCATAAGGAGAATCAGGAGACTGGGTTTAAATTTCTGTTTACGTTGTTTCGAAAGTATTACCTTCCTCATCTGTTTCCCTCATTTACCAAGTTAACCAACATCTACAAGCCTGTGCTGGGTGAGTACTGATAGCTGTGTGTGCAGTCTCTTACAACGATTAAGTAAAATAATAATTTTTTTTCATATTTAATGGTCGCTTTGTTGTGAGAGTTTTTCAGTTTCTTAATAAATGATTTTAACTATTTGTACAGACTGAGATTTGCCTGAGTCCTGAGCAATAAAGGCCATCTGTGGGTCTTGTAACTCAGGAGAAATTTGATACGGATCATGGTATATTGATCCCTGGGGTCGGGAAGATCCCCTGGAGGGAGGGCATGGCAATCCACTCCAGTGTTCTTGCGTGGAGAATCCCCATGGACAGAGAAGCCTAGTGGGCTATAGTCTGTGGGGTCACAAAAGAGGCAGACACGACTCAGCAATTAAACAGCAGCATTTAAGCAACCAGATATATGTCTATTTAATTAGAAATGGAAACATTCTTAGGGGTTATATGATGTTAAGAGTAACAAACCTGGGGACTTCCCTGGTGGTCCAGTGGTTAGGATTTCACCTTCCAATGCGGAGGGTACAGGTTCAATCCCTGGTTGGGGAACTAAGATCCCAGGTGCCTTGGCCAAAAAACTGAAACATAAAGCAGAAGCAATATTGTAACAGATTCCATAAAGACTTTAGAAATGGTCCCATTAAAAAAAAAAAGATTGGCTAACCTGATGTGTTCTCTTGTTCTGCAGACATCCCCCACCCGAGACCAAAGCCTGTGTATGTCACTACCGCTCGAGACAATGAAAGCATTTACAGCACAAAGATCCCATACATGGCAGCTCGTGTTGTCTTCATCAAGTGGATGGTGACTTTCTTTTTGGAAAAAAAGTATCTAACTGCAACACAGAACACTAAGAATGGAGTTGATGTATTGCCTAAAATCATTCAGGTATGTCATTCATTACTTTTTTACCTTTTAATTCTGGTGTCTTAAGCCCTGCTAACACCAAAGTAATTGACTCTTAAGGCTGTTGGCTCTCACAGGTTGCTGGCTATGGGGGCTCGGTTTCACTGGCTCCACCCTCTGTGATGCTGAGGTTTCAGAGGAAGCATAAGTTAGCACTCGCCAGGCTCTCTTGGCCTTGCCATGATGAGGCAACCGTGTGGCCTTTCCAGTAGGTGCTGACGTGTGTGCTCCTGGCTCCCTCTCACCTCCCCTCCTTCACTCAGGCCCCAGTGACCTCTGAGCGCAGAACAGAGGGCCTCCCTGGCCTTGCTCATTCCAATCCAGGAAAGGTCCCCAACAATCATGAGGTGGTCACGGAGAGGTCACCTGAGCCTGCCAGGTGCCCCCTGGGCTCTCGGGGAAGGGGTGGGTCAGCACCTCTGGATTTCATGTGGTCGCTGAGCCATGATGGGGTCCCCGGGACAGAAGGCAGCGTTTTCCGAGGCCTGGGTGAAGCCCTCTTCTCACGTGGGGCCTGTCTCCCTGGCCTTGGTTGGACACATGGGGCTTTCCTGGCAGTTGTCGTGTTTTGGGCTTTTGTGCGGGCAGCGTGGGACACCTTGTAAAGTCAGAGTGGCCGCTGCTTGGAGGAGTCACAGTTTCGTGTGCTCTGATTTATTGGCTCCAAGGACAGGACCAGGAAGTGTGATCCACTCAGTGCAGGCTGGCTGATGCCTTGCAGTCCCCAGACGTGTGATGTCGGGGCCCCGGGCTGTAGGGCACACCGCTCCTGCCCTTGCCGAGGGGTCCTCAGTCCTCTCTTGGTGGAGCACCCAGCGGGTCCAGAGCACAGGGTCCATAATAAGAACAACAAAAGACTCGCTAAAAGTTAAAAAAAAAACTTTAATTTCTGAATTTACAAATTTAGTACATAAACTCAAAATGGTAATAGTCACTGCTAAATCCAAACAAAATGGATTTTCTGAAGCACTGTCACACAACACTGATTTAAAAAAAAAATCAGAGCTGGAACTCCGAAACTAATATTAATAGATAAGACCATAGGTGCAGACCTACTTTGCAGACATTGTGAGGGCAGAAGGAAAAAAGAACAGGACATAACAATTAAACCAAGAGTAAGGAAAGCTTACCTGAGCTAAAAAAAAAGTCATGCTTTAAACTGAAAGGGCCTGTGAGCCCCAGGAAGAATTAACAAAACACACCAAACTAAACAGACATTTGACCTTCAGGGGTTAAAGGGAAAATGATACAGACTTCCAAACAGAAACGGCAGCTATGTCAAAGGAATGACACTGAGATTAGCACTGAATACCTAATCTAATCTACAGCCCTGGGAGCCAGAGCAACCTGTTTGTCCCTTTCTCAAAATCTCACTTCATATCATGTACATCAGCACAGAGTCACATTGGTTTAAGGCCTAAGTTGATTTAAAGTCTAAGTATAAAAACAGAGTGATCAAGAACTTAGGAAAAAATCTAGGGGAAATGCATAAACTTGGGAAGTGGTAGACCACCTTCGGTAGAGGTGAAACCTACAAACCAAAGACTAAATGAGGTTCGACTTCGTTTTGAAAAACAGGGAAAAGATTTATTTGTCAAAAGATAACATAAAGCTAGGCCCAAGCAATAGACTGTGGAGAGCATTTGTCTTGTTATACGGTTGTTAAAGCATTCATATCTCCACTGTAAGAAGAGCACCTATGAAAAGACATGAAGACAAACAAGCTGATTGAAAAATGGACGAAGGAGGTGAAAGGCAGGTCATAGAAGAGGAAATAAGCGTGGCCCTGGACCTCCCCAGCAGTCAGGGAAACACAGTTAGTTCTGAGCAGCTATGAGAGCCCTTTTTTCACCTATCAGGTAGACAAAATCAGAAAATTGCAAGTAGACAAAAATTTGTAGGAAATGTAAGCAATTCAGTGATACTCTGATAAACTTTTCGTTCATGACGTCTAATGTGGTTGTTCAGGCAATTCAAAACACTATCAGAGAAAGGGTGTAACCTTTCTTCCCCGCCCAGTTTCAAAGTTTCAGAAAACTATCACCTGTGCTTATTGAAAATAAGTTGCTCCTTCTTAAAAAACACATTCGGATTATGAGAAGTTGCACGACTGGCATATTAACCACCACTTCCAGGTTCTAATTTTTTCCCTATTGGTTCTTCACACTTGTGAGTCATTTCCTTTTACTCTGCAGCTAAAGTGTCACAAGGTTCTGACCTCCGGCATCTGTTAGGAGGGTTTTATCGCCCTAACAGAAAGAAAGGCGCCGGAGCTCAAATGCTCTTATCCATAAGAGAAATATTTCACTCTCCTACAAGAGCAGCTGGAGATGCTGCTGCTGCAGCCATAGCTGTGGCCACATGTGCCCTGTTTCTCTCCTCCGCCCTTTCCCTCTGGCTCCTCCCTGACATTAGCAGCAGCAGCTGGGGCCCTCCTTCCTAGTTCAGTATAGAGACACAGAGCCCTTTCCTTTAGTGTGAGCGGAACACTTTAGGTTACCTGCGTGCTCTTAGGAAGGAGCCAGGTGCTGATTGACTGTGAACAGCTCTGGGTGGGGGTGGTGGTGACCAGCTTCCAGGAAGCAGAAGGCTCCCCTGGTGTTAGGGGCGGGTCAGCTTCCCCTGAGGCAGGTGCGGCTGCAGACCAGGGTGGGGTGGGGGTGGGGGCAGAGATCTAGGGGTTCCACGAAGGGGGAAGGGATACAGAGCAGTCACCATGCAGGTCCACGGCTCCTGTGCCCTGCACGTGGCCATGCCCAGACGTGGCCACTGCTCTGATCCAGGCTGCTCATACACTTCACAGTCAGTTATGTCAGTTTCCTGCTGCCACTCTAGCTAATTTCCACAAATGCATTGTCTTACAACTCAGGAAGTCAGAGGGCCCAAATCCGTCTCAGTGGCTGAAGTCAGGGTGTCAGATGCTCTAGGGGAGGGTCAGTGTCTTCCTTGTCCGGCCTCCACAGGCTACCTGTGTCCCCCTGGCCTGTGGCTCCTCATCCCATCATTTCTCCCTGTTTCCATCTGTGCATCATCTTCTCTGTGTCTGCTTCTCCTGCCTCCTTATGGATCCTGTGGTTACCTTGGGTCTACCCAGGTAATCCAGGGTACCCTCCCCCTCTCAGCATCCCAAATTTACTCAATCTGCTCAGTCCCCTCTGTCATGGAAGGCAGCACAGCCCTGGGTTCCAGGAACTCGGGTGTGGACATCTTGGGGAGGGTGGTCATTATTCAGCCTCCCTGTCTCCTGTGCCCTCGTCTCTGCCTTACCCCTGCGTGTCCGTCTCCTCTCCTGTGTGTCTGCCATGTGTTCCACTCCTCATTTACATTATGCAGGAGAGAAAGCAGTTTACACAACGGAATATTCAATTCTGGAGATGGAGGTGAAGGAATAAAAGCACCTATAATTGTATTAATCTCCTGAAAATATTTGTTTGGAATTTCAAATTTCAGGTAATTTTACCTGTGTAAAGTGACCGTCACTGTCTCAGCCAGCTGATCCAGAACCTCTTTTCAAAGAATATACTGCTCATATCAAATCCCTTTAAAACAGTATTTTAAATTCTGCTTCCAAATAGGGTTCACACTTTCCACTACTACTATGTTAAAAGTCATGTGTGAGATGTTTTTGTGTGTGTGTGTGTTTTCCCAAAGTGAATTTACTTCCTTTTGATCAGAAACTAATACCCTTGACAGTATTTTTCACTGGAGAGGGAAGGGACTAACTCACTTACCCCTCCGAGGATCTGGTTTGACCAGTGTTCTTGTTTGGTGGCATCATTCAGGCATCATTCATGGGAGAGAGAGAATACGGTTGCCTGGAAGTCCCATGCCACACTGGCAGCCGTGACCACCGATCCCCCTTTCAAATCTGAACGTCTTGGTGTGTCACCTTGGCCAGAAGTGTTTCCAGTGAACTATTATTTATTCTTCGGTGTATCATGTTAGTGTGAGATAGAAGTGCTTCAACCTGCATTAGAGAAAGCAGAGTAGTGAATTTAAAAATTTCAGCAGCACATTAATTAAACATTAAGACATTAAGAGGAGGATTTCTTTGGTGGTACGGTGGATAGGAATCTGCCTGCCAATGCAAGGGACATGGGTTCGATCGCTGGTCTGGGAAGATCCCACATGCCTCGGAGCAACTAAGCCTGTGCACCACTACTTCTGAGCCCAGGCTCTATAGAGTCCAGAAGCCACAGCTCCTGAGCCCTCAATTGTTGAAGCTCACAGGCCCTAGAGCCTGTGCTCTGCAACAAGAGAAGCACCCTTAATGAGAAGCCTGCCCACCACAACAAAGAGTAGCCCCTGGTCACTGCAGCTAGAGAAAGCCAGTGCATAGCAACAAAGATCCAACACAATCAAAAATAAAATTAATTAATTAATTAAAACCCAAAGAAGTTTATGAGGAAGTGAGAAAAAAAAAAGTTTGAGATGCTGAGACAGTTGATCATACTTATTTGTATGCTAACTCTTTAGTTACACTGTTAAAGAGCCACTTGAATTCTGACCCAGCCCTACCATAATGATTCACAGGCTGTGAGTTTCCCGATACTTGTATCTCATGGGGTGAACAGTTAAAAAAATGAATCACACAAATCGACACGCCTGTGGGAGTCCATGTATCATGCAGACCCACCTGTCTGTTGACGGCCGCACACGGGTGCCCTGTGTTCTTGTATCTACCAAGGCGGGAGTGGGCTGCCCTCAGCCAGCTGGGCCAACTGTGATGGGGAATTGAGCGGCATCAGTCTTCACCAGCAGGATGGCAGCTGCATCCTCGTTTGACACCTGCATTGTGGGTGTCCTCAGCCAGTCTCACCCTGAGGGTGAGCAACTCACAGTATGAACTGAAGGTTGAGAGGAAACCGGGGTGGGGAGGGGAAAGACTGAGTGGAAGCCTGTATCATGCATTTTCCTGAACCCTGGCAGCACAGGCCTGGTCCAAGCGGACCATATACTTGTTTCACTGGTTAAGCCTTCCATCTTATGCCAAAGAAGCAAAAATCATCTTTGCATTTACCACTGGAATCAACTAATACTAACAATAGCTGAGAATTCCAGCTTGGTTGTAGTGGGCAGAAAATGGACCTCTCTCTGTAGTTAATTTTTATTCATGCTCTTACTGTTACTCTTCATGAAAGAGGCAAGGAACGAATAGTCTTGAATTACTAGTTTGTTTTCACTCTCGTCACTTATTATCATTATAAATGTCTTAACAACATGCAGATTTTTTTTTTTTTTTGGAAAGCAGCGTTTTGCTGGTGTGGGCTAGAGGAGGCTGGGAAAAGCATTGTTTTTTCAAGAGAAGAAGTTTTCAGTTTATGGTATGATGGGAAATTCATCTGTGATATCATTAGGTTCTATTTGGATCACGGAGCTCAGTTTTCAAAAACAATTTGGTGCCTTTGAACGTAATTCTTTAGTACATTATTTTAGTTCTCTAATTGTCATAGAATCTGTTATCTAATGACCTCAAAACGTGTGGCTTCAAACACCCCTTTCACCATATTATTTATTTCCCTTTTTGGCTCAGGAATTTGGGTGAGATTTGGTTGGACAATTTTGGGGCTTCATGTGGCGTTAGCTGAAGTCAGTGGGTGGTGGTCTTCAGCTGGTGGCTGGTTGGTCAAGAGGGTCCGGAATGACTTTAGAGCCTGCTACTCTGGTGGGTGCAGGGGGCGGGTTGGGCTCCGCTGGCCTCCCTTTCTATATAACTCCTCTTGCAAGGCAGTCGTACTTCTTTTCTGGCCACTCAAGACTCCAAGAGCAAATGTTCCCCGAGATGCTAAGTGGAAGCCCTCAGCCTTCTGGGTCCCCTCCGCCCTTCCCGCCTGCTGGCTAACTCAGCCCCCCAGCCCATGGGGATCGAGGGGACACAGCCTTCCCATCTCTGCAGAGGGTGTGTCAGAGAATTTGTGGCTGTTTTTAATTTGCTACGTAAGGATGTGTAATTATTTTTTGTTTTTTAGCCTGTAGGGGAAATGAAAGTTATTGATCAAAAACTCACAGGTTATTGATCCATAAGAGACATTAGACTTAATCCAGCCACCATGCTTTACAGATCAAAAATATATGTATGTCAAAAAAAATATGTATGTCAGTAAAAATGAGGAAATTTTTATTTTTCTATGCAAATTTTTATTTTCTATGGGTTGACCCATCAAAAAGATGAAATAATTTCTACAGAGTTGCTTGCTGCACAGTGTCGCAGGGCCTTTGATAAACCACACAAGCTTAATAGCCCAGGCATGAGGAGAAAAATTGCTATCAATATAATTGTCTATTCATTTTCTCTAGAGATTACTATTTGAATATCCTCTTTGTTTTTAAACTGTCCTTGGTAGTTGCTGAAATAATAATTTTGTTCTACTTGTTTCTTGTCACTTCTTGTAAAAAATATTCACAGTTGGTAGAATTTTAGTGGTATTTGGGTTACATATTTTTGAAACAAAAGAATAATAGTGTAATTTACTAAAATGAAGCAAAATTTCACATATGTTGTGTTTGGAGGAGATCTTTAATTCTGGGGGAAATGAGCGCACCATACCCGGAGCTCCCCAAAAACAAGACGAGTCTTCAGCCTGGCCCGGTGTCTCAGAGGATCGCTTAGGAGGGGGGCCCTTTCTTGCAGACCGTCGGGGGAGGCACTGCAGTGCCGGAGCGGGCGCCGGAGCCAGACGCTGGCGGCGTGGCGGAGCAGGACCGAGGCCACGCGGATGGGAGCACCCTGTCCGAGCGCCGGCTCAGCAGTTGCAGCCTGTGCGGCATTGAGGAGGAGCACCGCGCGGTGTATGACATGGTCCAGCGCATCCTGCTGTCCACCCGCGGCTATGTCAACTTCGTGAACGAGGTGTTCCGCCAGGTGAGAGCGTGCGTGTGTGTGTGTGTGTGTGTGTGTGTGTGTGTGCATTTGTGTGTGGGGGGGGGTCGGGTGGGGGGTGGTGTGCAGGGGTAGGTCACAAAGCTCAAGAGGTTTCTGTCTTTGTTCTGTTACTCATAATACTCCAAGGAATACAATTGACAAGTTGGGCTCAGTTACAGAACTCCATAATGATTTCTTTCATCCCACTTTTAAGGTCTCACATGGAGAGTTGGCATTTGAACATTTTGGTCATTTTTAATGCTGTTTTCAAGATTTATGGGAGAAATATCAATAACCTCAGATATGCAGATGACACCACCCTAATGGCAGAAAGTGAAATGGAACTAAAGAGCTTCTTGATGAAGGTGAAAGAGAAGAGTGGAAAAGCTGGCTTAAAGCTCCACATTCAAAAAACTAAGATCCTGGGATCCAGTCCCATCACTTCATGGCAAATAGATGGGGAAACAATGGAAACAGTGACAGACTATTATTTTGGGCTCCAAAATCACTACAGTTGGTGACTGTAGTTACGAAATTAAAAGATTCTTGCTCCTTGGAGGAAAAGCTATGAAAAACCTAGATCACATATTAAGAAGCAGAGACATCACTTTGCCAACAAAGGTCTGTATAGTCGAAGCTATGATTTCTCCAGTAGTCATGTACTGATGTGAGAGTTGGATCATAAAGAAGGCTGAGTGATGAAGAATTGATGCTTTCGAATTGTGGTGCTGGAGAAGACTCTTGAGAGTCCCTTGGACTGCAAGGAGATCAAACCAGTCAATCCTAAAGGATGTCAGTCCTGAATATTCATTAGAAGGACTGATCCTGAAGCTCCAGTACTTTGGCCACCTGATGGGAAGAGCCAACTCACTGGAAAAGACCCTGATGCTGGGAAAGATTGAAGGCGGGAGGAGAAGGGGATGACAGAGGATGAGATGGCTGGATGGTATCATCGACTCAATGGACATGAGTTCGAGCAAACTCCGGGAGATAGTGAAGGACAGGGAGGCCTGGCGTGCTGCAGTCCATGGGATCCCAAAGAGTTGGACACGACTGAACAACAACAGTGTTGTTTTTATGATTTGATTTTGGAAAATTCCTACATGGAGTGGGACAGTTCTATATTTGAACAAAATCACCGTCTCAAATACCCTGTGTTTCCATAGCAAATTTTAAGCCTAGAGGGAGGCAGGGGGATAACTGCTTCTGAACCCCCAGCAGCATGTGAGCATACGAGAATTGTTGCGTGGCTGAAGGCACTCAGTCTGCAAGCTCCTGCAGACAGTTGGACTTTGCCTGCAAAGGCCTCTTGCAGCACCTCTGATAGGAGTATTTATGGCCTAAGAGGAAAAAGGAGACTAGGGAGGGGATTAAGAGGAAAGAAGGGAGCAGAGGTCAAGATGTTGAAATAACAGACCTTTGGGGAAAGCTGAATTGATGTGGTCAGTCCCAGAAGGCATAAAATTGAGAGCAGCGGTCAGCACATTTTAATAGAGTTAAGGATCAAATAGTAAGCATCTTCGGTTTTGTTTTCACAGAAGCTCTGCTTTGTAGTGAGAGAGCAACCAGGGACAGCACGGAACAAGCCTGTACAGGAGCAAGCCCGTGTTCCTGTAAAACCTTATTCACAAAAATCAAGCAGCAGACGGGATTTAGGTTGTGTATCATAGTTCCACAGCTGATCATGATCTATTGCAATGTTTGAAACCCTTGGGTGCAAATACTTAATACCAGATATCATTGACAAAGCTTTTAAATATTGCACTAGAGATAAGTGCTAAATTGATGTGGTTTTACCTGTATTGTGTATTTACTTATTTATTATACCCATAGCTTCATCCACATCCATTATTGGCATTCCACTCCTGGAAATAGTGTGTTCTAAGTTCTCAATTTAATCCAAATCCCAAATTCAATCTAAATTCACTTTTGAAGTAGCTTGAGTCATTGAGGTTAGCTGCAGACTACTTATGACTAAAGTAATAAGACATCTTTGTGCTATGAAACTTAAAAACATTTACATTTTATAGTTGTTCTTATTTAACTTGGAAACTTCTATGTGAAATTTTAAATATGGTTATTATGGTTTGTTAAAATACTGACATAGAGACATTTGGGAAAAGGGGCCTGGATTTTCACTTTGCATTCTGTTGCCCTCTCTTGGTCAGTGATGAATTTTTTTTTTTTTACACAAGACAAAATGTGACTTCTTTCATAATAATTCCTTTTTCAATTTTAAATTATTGAGAGACTAAGCCTAAACTATTTTAAACTATTAAAGTTTAAAAAATACATTCATTCAAGAAGTGCACATTCTCAGTATGGAGTTAGTGTGTGTGTGTGTGTGTGTGTGTGTGTGTGTGTGTGTGTAACAGAGAACAGTGCAAGGGGCAGGTTAGATGTCCAGACACGTGATGTGGAACAGATACCCATGAGGACCACTGCGAGCTGGGTGACTCTTACCTGAAAATGTTTTGCTTTTATTTCTGAAGTACATTTTTGTGGATGTCAAATTCTACTTTGGCAGGTGTTTTATTTCTGCCCATTGAATATTTTGTTCCATTGTCTCTTGGCTTTCATTGTTTGAGAAGTTACGTCAAGTCATGTGGTTATTCTTTTGGCGGAAACGTGTCTTTTCCCCTCTGGCTCCTTTTAAGATTTTCAGGTTGTCTTTGGTTCTCAGCAGTCTTAGTGTAATATACTTTGAAAGTATCCTGCTTGTGTTTCTTTGTGATTCTTGAATTTGTGAATTGATACGTTTTATCAGTTTTGGCAAAATTCTTAGTAATTCTTTCTTCAAATATTGTTTCTGCCACTTTTTACTAACTCTTTCTTTCTGCATCTCGGGGATGGAAAGGATAACCTTTTCCTCACGTCTCCTGCCTTACATCTTACCGTGGAACCACTGTGCTTCCTGTCTCAGTGTGCTTCCTTCTGGATGTTTTCATCTGATTTTTCTTCCAGCTTTCTCTTCAGCCACATCCAGCCTGTTGTCAGCCATTTACACTGGATCTTTAATTTTGCTTATTTTACTTTTCAATTTCACATGGATCTTTTTCTGATGCTTTAGCTCTCCTATGTGTTTAAATTATTATTTATTTTTATTATGGTTTGGCTAATGTTTACTTCTTTTTGCATACTTCTGACTTTTTAATTAATATGCTGCATTTCATATTAACTAGACCATGTGAATAATTTTGGTGGTACTGAGATCTATAATTTTGTTTTCCTCCAGAAAGAATTTATATTAATACTTGCTTTCTGGGAGAAAGGTAACATTGTATACCTTGATATTGAATTTTAGTTACACAGTTGTCTACATTTGGATTCTGATCACATTAAAATCAAGTTTCTTATATGAAAATGTGTAAGGGGATTCTTTAATGTTGTTAAGTTCACAGAGGGAATTCGCTGGCGATCCAGTGGTCAGGACTCCACGCTCCCACTGTAGGGGACATGGGTTCAGTCCCTGGTTGGGGAAATCAAATCCCACAAGCTTTGCCATGCAGCCAGAAGGAAAAGTTTGCAAAAGTGTGTACAGTGCTACAACCAGCCAGTTGGACAACTGACTCTCGAAAAAGGAAGGGAGGGAGAGAGGAAGGAAGGAAGGAAGGAAGGAAAAGGGAGAAAGAGAAAGGAAAGAGAAAGCCCCCCCCCCAAAAAAAAAACCCACAAAGAAAAGAAAAGCCCTGGTTAAAGTTAAATTTGCCAACTTTTGTGGTGTCACTGCTCCCACTGTGGCTAATTCAAGTCACCAACATGATGTCATTGAACGTGAACTCGTGAAGAGACATGACAACTGGATATACTATTATGTGTATTATTGCGTCATCTGTTGCTGATTCATTGGTATGCATTTTGGTTATTTTATGCAATAATTGTTCAGAATATAGACGTTATTTTAACATTGCACTTTGTTTTCTGGCCCAGGTATACAATTGTCTGTTTCCCCCCGCCAGTTTCCTGTGCACAAAACATGTGGCCCTGTGTAGTCTGTTTCAAAAGGAAGTCTGAAATTGGTGATAGCCCATGGAAATGTCTGTTGGACTCATTGGTGACCCAAACTTGTGTTAAAGGGAGTTTCTGTTATCATTTTAGGCATTTTTGTTGCCTTCGTGTGACATAGCCGTAACCAGAAAAGTAGTTCAAGTGTACAGAAAGTGGATCCTGCAGGACAAACCTGTCTTCATGGAGGAACCAGACGTAAAAGAAGCTGCCCAAGAAGATGCTGAAAAATTAGGATTTTCAGAGGCTGATAACAAGCAGGTAATCTTTCATCACTTGTTGTCTGAGTTGGCAGCATCTTATTTTAGCAAAATCTTCCTGCTCAGTCAGGGGCCGTAGTCTGTATGACACAGGCAGACTGTTCCTTTGTTATCAACTCTGATGCTGTCAGGGAGGCTGCCTCCGTGCTGTCTCCAGGGTCCTCCGCCACCTCCTAACCTCAGGCTCGGCCACGTGTGCACGGCAGCTTCTTCCTTCATTATCGCAGAAGAATCTTTGAAGAAGCCAGTATGCTTTGCATGTCTCTATTGAAGACTAAAAGCATCACTGCCTTACTGTTGATATGCTTAAATAAATAGTATTCACTAAACTGGGCTTCCCAAGTGGTGCTAGTGATAAAGAACCTACCTGCCACTGGAGGAAGCATAAGAGACGCGGGTTCAATCCCTGGGTTGGGGAGATCCCCTGGAGGAGGGCATGGCAACCCACTCCAGTATTCTTGCCTGGTGAATCCCATGGACAGAGGAGCCTGGAGGGTTACAGTCCATGGGGTTGCAAAGAATCAGACACGACTGAAGTGACTAAGCACGCATGCACGCATTTGTTAAACTAAATTTAGAACGTTTGGGGGACTTTCCTTGTACGGCAGTCCATATCAGCAGCAGTTCAATGTGACAGACTTGAAAGGATGAACCCAATGTTCAGTCTCCCCTGGGAGCCTTGTTGCAGGGCTAGGTGGTGTCCTTGGATGGGGGTGCTGGCAAGGTGGACCTTTCACTCCACGTTAGATAAAGATACAGATGGGATAAACCCAAAATGACAGAGTGGGCCTCTGCTTGATGCACAGAAGAAACTTAGGTTGTACATAGATTTCTGGCATGCTATTTTGACATCTAGTCTGATAATTATTTCTAAAAGTGAATGTTGCCATGGCAATTAACACCAAGCATTAAAAAAATACTTATAACCAAAGGTATATCACTTTTCAACATCTATATTAATTCCACAATTTGATTTTTTTCAATATTGGTGAAATGATTTTCACAACTAGTCATGAGGTCAAAGCAAATCAACAGTCATGTTCATTCAGTCACTGGACAAACAGTATCTATTTCTTTAGCACATACTGAGCACTCAGTACTATTTTAGATGATGGATGTACAATGGTGAATGCAGTAGAAAAGAGGCATGCATGTAAAACCTGTAATCTCATGAATTCTTATGAATGTAAGGAATTAAATACGTGACCTGTCCTTTTCCCACTCTGCTGACTGACTGTTGTCCTCCAAAGACCTCTTCTGAAGGTTCTGGCCACAAGCGATCTTCCAGTTGGGGACGGTCTTACTCCTTCACCAGTGCCATGAGCAGAGGGTGTGTGACGGAAGAGGAGAATAAGAACGTGAAGGCCGGGGCCCAGGCAACGCTGCAGGTACATGCCAGCCGCAGATGGAAGGGCCCCCAGCGGAGTCAGTTTGAAGGTTTTGTTTATTGGGGGTAACATCGTTATAAAGCTTGGTGATTGTCCTAGCTATGGATGAGTAAACAGCCCTTAAATTCTCATCCTTAATTTTCTTCCTGATTACCCACCTTCAATCTGTAAAGTTGTTTTTTTTTTTTTTAGTCAAAGGAGACATCTGAACTGATTACAGTTTTCTGAAGGATTGTTATACAGTGAATGCAAAATGACTGAGATTTAAACTCAGTGACTGAGATTAAAAAAAATGACTGAGATGAAAAAGTAGAGAGTTACCTTAAAGAAGGGAATGGCAACCCACTCTGGTATTCTTGCCTGGAGAATCCCATTGACAGAGGAGCCTGACGGGCTACAGTCCATGGGGTCACAAGGAGTTGGACACAACTGAGCAGTTACCTGGATTCTAATTTGTAAGACAAGCTTGGTGATTATGTAATAAGTTATATGCATCTTAAAAATTGCCTATGTTTATGAAGAATGCGGATTAATGCTGTGATTTTTAGACATTTATCTGAATAAATATATGAACTAGCACCAATATCATTTGGGAACATTGGCAAGAGCAACTTTGCCTATCACTGAGTCTCCCCAGACTTAGAGACTTTATCCCAAAAATAGGGATTGGGGCATTATCTCTCAGGTCCCATCCAGTTTGAAGGTTGTCAGAAGTATAAGTGAAAACACAGGGTCACTCTCTTTTCCCTGCTCCTTGGCCCCCCACCCTCCTCTCTATATCCGCATTCAGTTGTCCAGTTAAGCCTTCCACGCAAAGGCCAGGCGTAGGGTCTGGGGAAGGTAGGCATGGATGTGGCGTGATGGTACCCAGTTTTCAGTGATGCTGTGCTTGTCATCTGTCTCTTGAGAGGATTCCTTGTCATGGGATCCTTTTGGTTTTCAAGTTAATTAGCAGTTTCGTATACTGTAATTACGGGTCTTCCCTGGTAACTCAGCTGGTAAAGAATCTGCCGGCAGTGCTGTAGACCCTGGTTCAGTTCCTGGGTCGGGAAGATCCCCCACAGAAGGGATAAGCTCCCCACACCAGTATTCTTGGGCTTCTCTGGTGGCTCAGATGGTAAAGAATCTGTCTGCAATGCAGGAGACCTGGGTTCAATCCCTGGGGTGGGAAGATCCCCTGGAGGAGGGCATGGCAACCCACTCCAGTGTTCTTGCCTGGAGAATCCTGTGGACAGAGGAGCCTGGTGAGCTACAGTCCATGGGGTTGCAAAGAGTTGGACACGACTGAGTGACTAAGCACAGCATACAGCACTTACTGTAACTGATGGATTTTCTCCTTTTTCATTGAAATTTGGCAAACAATCTGAAATTAGCTTTTGAAAAACCAAGATGATTTTGCTTGAATAGCTTCAGAGAACGTTGGCTCAGCCCATCAGTATCATCTGTGCACCCACTGGAGGAAGCTGACAGGAGTCCCTGTCGTGCCCCTTCCTTCCAGCTCACTGCCCAGTTGCCATGGTTAGCCATCCCGCAGTCAGCCCATAGGGTTGCAAGCGCCTGTTTTTTCCCTCAGTTCAGGTGAGTTGTTTCTTTTCTAGAAGAAGTGACATCTATTTATATGAACCAGGAAAAATATTTCAACTTGAAAAATTTTTTTCAGTTGGGATTTAAACAGCTGTTTTTGTTCTCATTTCATCAAGTACCTTGGTCCTTGACTTGGTTAATTAGGAAAAAGCAGCCAAATGGAAGTTTGATAAGAAGAGACTGTTTTATAGTTGCTTCTGACAAGTACAATTTGGATATATTAGTTTTGTTGATTTATTTTTTTCCCTAACTGATGCTAACATGGTAATAAATACTCAAGGAGCTGGCATTTTTTTAAAAGACTTTTTTTTTTTTAATGTGGACCATTTTTTTTTAAAAGTCTTTACTGAATTTGTTATAATATTGCCTCTCTTTTTTTAATGTTTCAGTTTTTTTACCTCAAGGCATGTGGGATTTTAGCTCCCCAACCAGGGATTGATCCCACACCCCCTGCATTGGAAAGTGAAGTCTTAACTAGTGGACTGCTATGAAGTCCATAGCTTGCATTTTTGATGTTTTTTTAAAAAGTGAAATTAAAGAAGTATAATATATGAAGACTTCTCACTTTGGAATTTGCAAAGGTTTAAAATTCAATCAGGAAGCCAAGTACATGAATTATAAAAGATCTGTATTGCAATATACCATCTATGGCAGACTTAAAAAAAAAAAAAACATTGTCACTCAAGCTGCTATAGTTTGTAAGTCTAAAGGTTCTTTGCTTTCTTTTTTCTTATGTGAAGGCTAGTAAATTCTTCACAATTGGCTGTTACCATCTGTTATCAACTGTTATAGTGCTTATATTGTGATTCTTCCTAGAAGATTGAGTCATGATACATTTTTAATCTCACCACCTGGGAGCCCTAAGTGATAGCAGTTATTTTTCTAGACAAGGTCTTCCAGATGTCAGTATTAAGTCCATTCTAAGGGGTGAACTGTGTGTTCTAAGGGGTGAACTGAGGCTTTCCGGGTGGCACAGTGGTAAAGAATCCATCCACCTACCAATGCAGAGATACAAGAGACGTGAGTTTGATCCTTGGGTCAGGAAGATCCCCTAGAGAAAGAAATGGCAACCCACGCCAGTATTCTGCCTGGGAAATCCCATGGACAGAGGAGCCTGGGGGGTTACAGTCCATGGAGTTGCAAGAATCAGACACTACTGAGCACACACACACCAAAATCTGTTTACTTGTGTTTTCTCACATAACACTTGTTGGTTTTAAGGTATTTCTGACAAATGCTGCAAACGTCTTTTTGCTGGAGCCATGTGTGGAGGTTCCCATGCTCTTGAAGGAGCAAGTTGATGCCTGCAAAGCTGTTCTGATTATTTTTAGGCGCATGATAATGGAGCTGACAATGAATAAAAAGACCTGGTGAGTGTATTTTCAGTGAATTAATATCGTAAAACAGATGTTTCTGTTTTCAATGCAATAATTAAAAATGTGAAAGCCTCCACTTATTAAATAGCTTTACAAAGAGAACCATGAGATAGTAATCAGTCTTTTGTAACATTTTGGTGAATTATGAAGGTAAGTATCCAGTACTTTGATAGTTCATTTGTTTTCATTATTGGTTTTTAAAATAAAAAAAAAATTCTCAAATTAAGAGTAAGCTGTCCTAGGATGAAATAGCAGATTCTTAACTGTCATCAAGCAAGTTTCCTGCAAAAGCAGTAACTGGTTGATAATATCATAATCCATAATCCCAGGAGGGTTGGCTAATTGCTCCAAAACACTTTTAAGCTGATTTTATTGCTGTAAAGTTGAAGTTTTAAATTCATTTTGGAGAAATGATGGATTTAAGTGATACATTATCAAAGTGCACTCAAATGCAGTGGCGTCGTGAAATACGCTCATGTGAAATGTTTTCTTCCTGCTGGCTGGTTTTTTGTTTGGTGTCTTTGTGTTGATGATACCCCAGAGGTAAGCAGTGCATGAGAGTTTCCTATGAGGGGTGTCTGTGCATCCCTCCAGCCCATGGGGTGCTCCCGGGGTTCTCAGCTCAGACAATAGCCTTGGAGCCCATCACCCCTTCCTCTTCCCTCCTGTGTGAGGAGGGTAGCTCGTAGTAATACTTCTGCTTCTTCAGTCCAGTCCTTGCAAGTCTCTCCCGCCCAGGCAGTGCCCCCCTGCCGCCTGCCTGGCCGCATTCAGCATCCTCCCCACTGTCAGACCCCTAGGGGACACCTGCTCCCCGAGAAGTGCTCGGGGTCCCCATTACCGGCCTGTGGTCTGGATGATGGAGCCGGTGCTCAGGGAGCCATGGGAGGGTCTGTCTGGGGAAACCACAGGGATGCGGCAGGACTGAGCCGGCAGGACCTCCAGGGTATCAGATCCAGCCCTTCTCTTTCTCAGGGGAGGAAGCCAACTGGGCAGAACATTCACAAATTCAGGAAACCCCAGTGTCAAAAAAGGGTCATTCAAAGCTGTACCTTCTGGGCTCATCTTTCCTAGACTTTTAAACCGAGAAGCCATCGTTAAAACATTATAGGGGTGAGCAAAGCAATTTTAACAAGAGTTCACAGCTGTGTGTCAGTGATGAAATTATGAGCGATGCTGACAGCTTTCAGCTCAAATGCCTGCCCCTTCGACCAACTGTATCAAGTGTTTTTGATGCTTTTCTCTCCTTTGAAAACTCTTATGAGTTCTGTGTACCAGTGTATCAGTAATATTTTGGTATTTTTGACCATCTTTTTGAGGGTGTAGGAAATAAAGTGAAACAACTCTCTGTTTCTTTTTTTTTTTAACTGTTTCTTTAATAATTCAACGATTTCCAGATAAAAGTATTTTAAAAAATCAAAACATTGGTATAGATGAAAATACTAAGAAAAAGTCCACAGAGTATAGCCTGGGATGTGATCGGTTCCCCCAGCTGCAGACCCTCCTGTGTGTTGAAGCACCAGATAAGCCCTGAATTCCCTCCCACCATTCTTTCATCCAGTAAATAACTTGGGTGCTTTCTCCTCTGAGGATGGAGGGTGAACTCAACAGACCAGGTCCCTGCCCCTTGAGAGGCCTTGGTCCTCATGGGCCTGAGAGATGTGAGGAACCCAGGGGCCAGGTTAGGCGGGTCCAGCAGTGGAGCTGGGGTGGGCAGCGTGGAGGCTGGGGAGGCCTCTCTGAGTGGCGCTGGGAAGGAAGAACATCCCCACGGGGAGGGATTGCAGGTCACAGGCTTGGTGGATCCCGGGCAGGATGAGACGGCAACCAGTGTGGTGAGGCAGATGCTGGGCAGTGGGCTGGTGGGAGGGGGCAGCCAGTGCCCAGGGCCCTCGGGCTGCAGGGAGGCCCCTGCCACCTCCGCCTGTGTGCGAGAATGTGACGCCACCCGATGTACGTGTCTGCCACGGGAAGGAGAGATAGCGCATGGAGCCCAGCCTCTGTGGCCCAGACCAGGCTGTAGCCTGGGAGGTACTGGGAAGTGACTCCAAAAGAGGGGACAGCTTGTGTGGGGCCGGGCAGGTGTGTGAAGAGATGAGGAAGAAGTAGGAAACGAAGACAGGAAGAGCTGCCCACCCGCGCCCCCCACCCCCAGCCCACCTCTGCCAGTGTTTTACAAAGCACAGAGGAGCAAGCGGAAGTCAGAGCTGTGAGCAAAGAATTTGTCAAACCAGAGGTCATTTTGCACCCGCATTCTCTTCCAGAAGACTCTGTGTGGGAATGTTGTGGTTCCCAAGTTTTCTCAGGTTCAGAGGTTAAACCTGTCCCCGTGTCCGTGTCAGTCTAAGCCTCCGTCAGGACTGTTTTTGATAGCAGTGACTGGGACTGGGGTTTCATTGGAAAGTTACTATGTTTCTTATTTTCAGTTTGCTGGATGGTGTGGAAGGGGCTCTTTTTCTTTCTCTTGAGCATCACAGAAGGCACACAGGCAGAGCTGACCCTGGGTGCAGCGCTCCAGCTGTGACCGGGCCCTGGGGACCCTGGACAGGGTGGGTCACAGGCTGTCCCCAGCCCTGCAGCATTTCTTCCCTCGTCCTCATCAAAGTCGCCGGCTGCTCCAGGAGTGTGTGCATAGGCCTGCCTGACCCCAGAGCTCTTCTCCTGAGCCTGCAAGCTCCCTGGACTGGGGCCAAGTGGGCAGGCTCAGTAGAGCAGAAGGGAAATGGGTGCCTACAGAGACTGGGATGGGAGTCAGACAGGGTCACCCACAGGAGGACAGGAGACTCTAGAGTAGCTGAGTGGGATCCAGCACGGTGTTCAGAGAAAACACTGTTCGACATGCAGAAATGTGAGAGCGGTCTAAAGGAACCGAGATTTGAGATCTCATTATCTGACCTGGACTGATTCTTGGTTTTATCACTGATGAGGAGAAAGTTCCAAGGATAAACAAATGATTCATGCACAAGACCTTGAACAAGTAGTTAAAGGGACCTGGTGATTTCTCTCCCTTATGCAGACGATAACCTGATAACCTGCTCTCTGTTTCCACGGCACCTGGGGAAACACAGCTATAAGAGAAAAACGCCCTCTGGCTGTGCGAAAGAATTTGTCACCGTATCACAGAGTTGGACCACAAAGAAAGCTGAGAGCCAAAGAATTGATGCTTTTGAACTGTGGTGCTGGAGAAGACTCTTGAGAGTCCCTTGGACTGCAAGGAGATCAAACCAGTCCATCTAAAGGATATCAGTCCTGAATATTCATTGGAAGGACTGAAGCTGAAGCTCCAATACTTTGGCCACCTGCTGTGAAGAATTGAATTGTTGGAAAAGGCCCTGATGCTGGGGAAGATTGAGGGCAGGAGGAGAAGGGGACGACAGAGGATGAGATGGTTGGATAGCATCACGGACTCGATGGACATGAGTTTGAGCAAGCTCCGGGAGTTGGTGAAGGACTGAGAAGCCTGGCGTGCTACGGTCCACGGGGTCGTGAAGATACAACTGAGTGACTGAACAGCAACAGAGGACCAGGATAAATGACTGCATGATATGGAAAGGAAATACATGGGCTTTCTTCCCCGAAGACTGCTGCCTATGCAAAGTTCTATCTTGGGAAGCCTGGCATGCTACAGTCCGTGGGATCTGAAAGACATGACTTAGCAACTGAACAACAACAGCAATCACAATGGGAGATGTTATTTCCTGTCCCTAGTGTTTTGTACTCTTTAAAGACCTTTCACAGAAAACCCCCTTCTGTGTGGAGTGCTGTGATGGAGGTGTGGTGACCACAGTCTTCAGCAGTAGAGGTGGGCAGTGCTGTGCACAGTCGCAGTCTTCCAGGCAGAAAGCTCCACGGCCTGAGCACCCAAGGGTGACCTTTCCCAACCCTCCTTCCTACCTGTGGGTGTGCTGTGGGGCTTGGCCACCTGACACAGCCGGCTGCAGCCCTCCCTGGAAAGTCCACATTATTTTCCGTCACAATGAGAGATAGGCAGACCTCTCAGGTTAGGTAAAATCATGGATGTGAAAATGTAAGAGTGCTGCGTAAGTTCACCTAAGCACAGCTCTCCGCTGAGTGCCTTCGAGGGCCGATAAAGCTGGAGAAACAGCCTCACCCCCATTTTTCCAAGGGGAAGGAGTCAGGCTGGGGTGAGACCCTTGTGGTCCTATCTATTGATTTGGGCATAGGAGGCATACTTGTTGAACCATGGTGACTTAAAGTAGTTTATTTTGATAAGTATGGTGTTCATTCTGTAACTGGCATTCAGATACTTTTGAATTCACTTCAGTTCAGCTCAGTCGCTCAGTCATGTACAACTCTTTGCGACCCCATGGACTGCAGCACGCCAGGCTTCCTTGTCCATCACCAACTCCTGGAGCCTACTCAGACTCATGTCCATCGTGTCGGTGATGCCATCCAACCATCTCATCCTGTCATCCCCTTCTCCTCCTGCCTTTAACCTTTCTCAGCATCAGGGTCTTTTCCAATGAGTCGGGTCTTTGCATCAAGTGGTCAAAGTATTGGAGTTTCAGCTTCAGCATCAGTCCTTCCAATGAATATTCAGGACTGATATCCTTTAGGATGGATTGGTTGAATCTCCTTGCAGTCCAAGGGACTCTCAAGAGTCTTCTCCAGCACCACAGTTCAAAAGCATCGATTCTTTAGCGCCCAGCTTTCTTTATACTTTTAAATAATGTGTAATTATCCATTTTGCTGAATTCTAATGAGAATTTCATGTACCTATACGTGTAAGTGCTTTGGAGATGTGATTAATAACATGAACTTTTATTTTGGGTGGCCCAGGGAACAGATGTTGCAAATACTGCTCAGGATAACAGAAGCTGTCCTGCAGAAGCCAAAGGATAAACAAATCAAGGACTTGTTTGCCCAGAGCTTGGCAGGGTTACTGTTTAGGGTAAGTCTGTTTGTTTTTTTTTAATTAAAACACTGCAAATGTAAGAAATGACTTGGATTTTTTCAGCAAATCAGTTTTAATTATTGAGAATTTCAAGAGTAAAATTGGACTGCCTTTAAAATGTTTCTAGAAATATAACTAGAAAATTTCCTTCTTGAATGTTCTCTTGAGGGTTGTAATCAGGCTTTATGATTAGTGCTGGGCCTTTAGGCCTTCCCACCTTTCTGCCATCTGCTTCCTCCTTTGATTTACTTAAGGTTGCTAGAAGTTAGGAAGACAACAGTGCTGATGGTCTTGGTCTCGGGCTAGGTAGATTTGAAGAGGTGCAGGATGGACAGAGCACGGGTGTGTGGGTAGGATGGAGACATTCAGACAGGAATGCAGGTGTGAGGGCTATCAGAGTGCTTAGCGTTTGTGTTTAAAGCCGCAGGACTGAATGGGATCATCTGGGGAGAGGGGATGTGTCAGAGAGAAAGAAGGCCATTTCCTTGATGGAGGAGGTGAAGGGTGGCACCCACAGAACGTGCACGGGGGCCACCAGGGAGCAGATAGAAAGGTCTGGAAGCCAGCAGAGATGTCTGGGCTAAACAGTGAGCAAATGTCCCTGGAGCCGTGAGAATGGGGACCAAGACCCAGGTGGAAGGTGGGCTGGCAGAGGGTGGAGTGAGTGTGGAAGATGGATGAGTGCGGACAGTTCTTTCAAGAAATTTGCTTTGAAAGGGGAAGAAAGGGCTGTAGCTCGAGGGGGCATCAGGGTTCACAGGATTCAAGGGAACTTTGTGAGGTTTTTGTGTGTGTGTGTGTGTGTTTTTGCGATAAGGAAGAATTGGATCATGTTTCCATGCTGATGGGTAGGAGCTGGGGAAGTTGGATGGGCAGGGGGTCCAGGTGACGTGGGGTTAACAGAAGTGCAGAGGTTGAGGGGGAGGCTGGGAGCAGGGAGGGGGGCACGCTTGGGAGAGCAGGGTGGGGGGCATGCTCGGGAGAGCAAGGCCCCCCCAGTGCCTGTCCAGCACCCAGGGGAGGAGCTGAGCAGACTGGGGCCTGGAGGGCAGAGGGTCTGCATGAGTCATCTGCTGCAAGTCAGGCAAGAGTGGGTCAGGTGGAGGTTTACCTGTGGGAGAGGCCCCTGCAGAGATGGGGGCAGGAATGTCTCAGAAGACAGAACAGGCTCCCCAGGTCCCGCCAGGACCAGCCTCAGATACTAGCATCGTTTCAAATCAGTATCTGTTCAAAATGATAATTGATTTCACAGTAGCTCAAGTCTTGATTGCCATTGATCAGATGCATTTTCAGAAATTAAACTCAATACCCTAAAGCACATTTTACTTTAAAATTCATCTTATTAATAATAGTAATTTAAAATATTTTGTCAAAAGCACACTTCTTCCAAGTGACAATTGAATTCTTTCATCCATCAATTGTTTTCAGACACTCATAGTGGCCTGGATCCGAGCAAACCTCTGTGTGTACATCTCTCGGGAGCTCTGGGACGACTTTCTCGGGGTGCTGTCTTCCCTCACGGACTGGGAGGAGCTGATCCACGAGTGGGCCAGCATCATGGACTCCTTGACAGCTGTGCTTGCCAGGACTGTGTACGGAGTTGAGATGACCAGTCTACCTCTGGACAAGTTAAGTGAACAGAAGGAAAAGAAACAGCGAGGCAAAGGTATTCCATCTCTGGCTCCTCTGGTGACCCCGGGTGTCTGAGCTGTGTGTATGCACGCGTGCTAAGTCACTCTAGTCGTGTCTGACTCTTTCCGACCCTATGGACTGTAGCCCACCAGGCCTCTCTGTCCATGGGATTCTCTAGGCAAGAATACTGGAGTGGGTTGCCATGCCCTTCTCCAGGGGATCTTCCCAACCAAGGGATCGAACCTACGTCTCTATGTCTCCTGCATTGCCAGGCAGGTTCTTTACCGCTCGCACCACTTGGGAAGTCCAAGGCTGAGTAGGAATGTGTATTAATTCCCAGGCAGTCATTGCATGGAATTGCGTCAGCTGTACCAATGGTGTCTTTTTAACAGTGGCATTCAGTTGCATATCCTAGCTCTGTGTCCCCTTCCTAAGGATGATGGATGGAAGCAAGGGCTGTGGGGGGAGGAGGAGGGAGGAGGAGGACTGAGACCTGTAGTGATAGGAGTGGTGGGGGGGGCACCGTCTCTGCCATCACCCTCACAGGAGGCTGTGAAATCCATGCCGCTGTCCCCACGTCACAGACCCAGACACTCAAGGACAGAGTCCATAGTGATCGGCTCCTTTGGGGGTCACACAGCTAAGAAGTGGTAAAGTTGGAAATCAAAGCCAGACAAGTCCCACTCAAGACACCCCAATATTTGTCATCTTTTCTGCTGCCTTTCTGGGGAAGATGGAGGATTCTGAGTGCTTCCCATGGAGTTGTTTAGCTTTGTTCTGTTTCAGGGTGAGAACTATTGTGAGACCTGGAGTCAGATCCAGCTGGTAACATCAGTGATGGTGTCTGTTGAGATGACACTTTGGAAGCCCATCCTCGTTACGTTTTTTAAGGCTGTGACACAGTCCTTGGATTAATTTCCTGTCCTCCAGCTTATTCTGTAACCATTTTGAGTCTGCTCATAGAAATACACGTAATGCAATAGATAAAATATGTAAGGATTCTGGGACAGAATAAAGAGTGTTGGAGCCCCAGCAGGTGGATAAAATGCAAGGATGCAAGTGAAGAGCCTCGGGGCGGCGTGGGGAGGCAGGGAGGGGGCAGATTTGACTCTGATCATCAACAGGGTAGCATCAGAGCATCACCTCTGTGTCCCTCAGAAGGTGTAAACAGCCTCCCTGCCTGGCTTTTCCAGGTCCTAGGATCTGAGAGGAGTTTTTCCTCCAAAGACTCCCAAAGGGCACGTTACCTGCCATGGTCAACTGCAGCCTCCACAATCGTCTTAGCATAGGTCGTGTCAGTTAGCCTTGCCATGTGACAAAGCACCCCAAAATGGCTTCAAATAACGCTGTTTATTTAAATTATGATTTTATGGATTGGCAGTCAGGGTTGGCCTCCCTGGGATGGATCTGCTGGCCTCACAGCTGCACCTGCTGTCAGCCGGGCTGTGACCTGCTCACAGCTCTGCTATCGGGCTGGCTAGCTGTCAACTGCAGTAGCGGAGGTGAAGGGGCCGAACACGCTTCCTCACCCCTGCAAGCTCGCTCAAGCTATTCACCTAATGGCTTAGGGTTCCAGGAGCAGCAGGAGGGCAAGCCCATTCTCAAGTGCATTTCAGATCTCTGCTTAGCCAGTGTTTGCTGCCAAAGTATGTAATGTGTTGAAGCTCAAAGTCAGTGGGGGAGAGGATGACAGAGGATGTGGGATACAGGAAGTGCGAACCAATTATAATGATTCGTTAGCCATAGAGACGTGTAATTAACATGACTGGTTCCTAGAGTGTCTCCACTGCTGTCTGTGAGTAGCTCCCCGGGGCACCAATTAGTAAGAGCAAGTCAGTGAGAAACCAAAACTAGCTGGTTGAGGTCCAGGGCGTTCCAGTGAAATTGTCCAATCCCAGTTTAGGTTTAGACTGTCTACTGCAGTGATATCTTTACATACTTCAGGCAGAAGATCCTTTTTTTCCCTCCCTCATTGAAGCTATACAGAGCCCCTTCCTTAAAAAAATATACAAGAGTGGAGACATGGGACGAAGTCAGGGCAGGGAGCCCAGAGCCTGGGCCCTGGGCCGCTGTAGTGACCTCTGTAGCAGCTCTGAGGGTCTCTGTGTAAACCCAGAGTCCAGGAGGGTCAGGATGCTTCCATCCAAGAACTTGATTTCCTAAGACTGTGGCTCTCAGCCCAGCAGAGTCTACCTAACGAGGATGCCTTTCAGGATAGAGGGAACGGCTGAGACAAAGTAAGGATCTTCTCAAAACTCAGCACATTCCCCCACTCCTCAAATTCTTATAATCCTCCCTCCCTTTGAACCCCCAGAATATTCTCTTCCCTCCCACCATGTGAACACAGATTCATAGGCTTGTCAGAGATAAGCTTGTCTTGGGAGGGTAAACAACTTAAAAAAAAAATGCTATTTATGGACAGATACAGAACAAATTTGGTTATTTACTTAATGACCATGACAAATATTTCTGATTTATTCATGTTGCTTTATTCCAAAAATGGATATAAATATTTACTGCAGAAATCCTTGCTGTGCAAGCAGTAGACTTATGGAAACAAAGGACACTCTCAGAAGAATCTGGGTGTGCAAATGAGCCACAGGTGGCATCTGACAGCCATGTGCCCAGAACCTTCTAAGTGTCTCTTTCTCTTTTCTTCTGTATCCGTTTTGATCCCTGACCACTCACTTGAGATATTTGTCTAGTGCAGTATGAGAGGAGAAAAGAGAAAATGAATCCCAGATCTTCAACATTTTACTGTTTCGGAGCTTCGCTTAAAATAGGAGTTTTGTATTGTTTGTAGCATTTGGTTGACTTTCCTCACTTGACTATAATTAGAGTTTATGGGCATACATTTCTCTCAGAGATTTGTGGAGAGGTTTGCGTCTACAGGACGGAATAGTGTTCTAAAATCAGTGATCTCTCATTTTCTGGTTTATAGAAGCATTTTTTGGAGTGTCCCAGGAGCAGTGGTTGGAGAAGGAGATGGCAACCCGCTCCAGTATTCTTGCCTGAAAAATTCCATGGACAGAGAAGCCTGGTGGGCTACAGTCCATGGGGTCGAAAAGAGCCAGACACGCCTGAGGGACTAACACACAGAGGGAGCAGTGGTGTAGTTCATTTGACACTGTTCTTACATTGAGAAAGATCTATTCATGTTTTTGTACACTGGAATGAGTGCTGTGAAGATAGGAGAATTTTCTTGAGACCATTGAAGGGGCTTGAAAATTACTTTGGCAACAGGAATTTTCAGTTGCCTGATGGATGACTCACCTCCTAAATTGCAGTGTAGGAAGTGGTACCCTGCAGGAGAACCTACTGATTATGCATCATTCTGTGTAGGGGGTTTGCTGAGCGGCACGGGCTAGGGGAGGAATCATGAAGAAATCAGCCCCTGGATTGTGTTTCTCGTCTCATAGGCTGTGTTCCGGATTCTCAGAAAGGAAGCACTGTGGGGAGGTCCTTTTCTCTGAGCTGGCGGAGCCACCCTGACATGGCCGAACCCATGCGATTCAGGAGTGCCACCACGTCCGGGGCGCCAGGGGTCGAGAAAGCCAGAAACATTGTCCGCCAGAAGGCATCCGGTAAGTGCGGGTCCTAGTATTTCTCCATAGAATGGATGTAGAGGAAGTATAAGATTTTAATGGATTTATAAGAATTTTTTTTTTTACAGCTTTATAATAAATTCCACTCAGAACTTAAGTACGAGGCCTTTTACTGACTGACATGTCGCTATATCTTTTCAGCTTTCTGTCTGCTTTTCCAAATCATGGTTTTTACTATTTATTTCTAAATTCTGCCGCATGATAAAGAACGAGATGTGAATATCGAGTGTGATGTTGGTGCAAAAGAGAGAAAATTGGCGTTTTGTTTGAACCTTGAGGAAGATGGATTCTTGGTAATCGCACAGCCGGCTATGTTATTGTTGTTCGGTATTCATCTTAAGAGAGTGTGGAAACTTAGTCCAGCGAAGAAAAGGAGACTAAAGCTTTAGTTTTCAGGACTGGAGGAAGACATCTGCGTTTTCTGCTTCTTTGGAAAAGGGCACCTTACCTGTTTGTTTATACGTTGACCATACAGTCAGTTAGAATTAATAAGAACTTGAACGGGAACCTCCCATTAATCGCACCGTTGCTACACTTTATTCTTAAAGAGAGAACTCTTTAGTAACTAAGCTTGTATATGGTATGTAATAAGAACAAATAAAGCTCCAAACCCCTCCCAGTGACTCTGAGGCTATAACTTAAGTTTAACACAGATTCCTGTATGGGACTTACATGGCAGTCCAGTGGTTAAGACTTCGCCTTCCAGTGCAAGGGATGCAGGTTCAGTCCCTGGTCTAAAGATCCCACCTGCTTCACAGCCAAGAAAAACCAGAATATGAAGCAGAAGCAATATTGTAACAAATTCAGTAAAGGCTTTAAGAATGGTCCACATCAAAAACAAAACCAAAGTTAAGACAGATTCGTGTAGGTCTGCTTTTCACATCAATAATGCCATGCAATTGAAATTGTTATTCAGCATGTTGACTGCAGAGAGAAAGCCACAATTTCCTCTGGTCATAAACCAAAGATTCATTGACGCTCTGCATAGTTTCCAGTGCTCAGTCAAGGCTTACAACAGATGCCTTAGAATCCTGTTGTTTTTATGAAAATATATTACACATTAACCCTAACTGCCTCATTATTTTTCCAATAATATTTGTTGGTCATTATCCCTCATTTACTGCTTCCTTCATCCTCTCCCTGAGGAGAGACCTAGTTTCCAGAAACAGGCAGCTTTGGGGAAGGCTCATTCACCTATTTCCTTTCTCATCCGAACTCCTAAAGTCTCTTCTCTCTCTCCCCGCACTGGGTCCTCGAAAGGGATCAGAATAGGGGTTCGTGCCATGGTTGAGCCTCCCAGATTGCCTGTTGCCCCTCTCAACCCCTCAATTACAGAGGTGACTAAAGTGCTCATTCAAAGCACTTTTTAAAGCATGGGTTGCCGCTCCCTTCTCCAGGGCGTCTTCCCGACCCAGGGGTTGAACCCAGGTCTCCCGCATTGCCGGCAGATTCTTTCCTGTCTGAGCCCCAGGGAAGTCCAAGAATACTAGAGTGGGTAAGCCATTCCCTTCTCCAGGGATTGAACTGGGGTCTCCTGCCTTGCAGGTAGATTCTTTACCAGCTGAGCTTCCAGGGAAGCCCTCTCACATATTAACATAGACAGATGATTCTATGTTGCGTGTTCTATATGCCACTGTTTGGCCAAAGCACAGCCGTCAGAGAGATTGCACCTTCATTTCTCAATAGGTATTCTAGACCAATGATACGATAGAGGTGCTGGTAGGTTTTAGAAAATCCTCTGTGCCTTTCTGTGGCAGTGTTCTCAATTGCCTGAGAAGTCATGCAAAAACAAGAACTTTCACGAAATCAAGTAAAGGTGCTTGTAGAGTATGTCACTTCAAAACCATAAACCTGACATTTGTAGCAATCATTCAATCAAAAACACTTAGAACTCTAACCTTTAACAGATAGTGAAGATGAGAGCTATTGAGTTGGACAGATCTATTTTCTTCATGTATTGGGTTGGCCAAAAAGGTTGTTTGAATTTTACATAGAATCTTGCAGAAGAGCACAAATTAACTTTTTCACCAACCCAATACTTTATACATATTGCAACCCACTCCAGTATTCTTGCCTGGAAAATCCCATGGACAGAGGAACCTGATGGGCTATATAGCCCATAGGGTTGTAAAGAGTCAGACACGACTAAAGTGACTAAACAACAATGAATATATATATGTATTTCCTATTTTATATTTTTAAAATTATAAAATATTATGACTTTTTTGTTGCCTGTGAAGGCAATGATTTTTGAAGATTTTTACTATATCATACTGTTTTATAAAAGTAATCTATCTAGACTACATATTAGAATTTTTACTCATTTCAATTTTTTTTACATATCTTTAGTTTTCTGAGAAGGCCCAGAATATTCTCACAGTAGATTTTGGTTGTGTAGAGGCCCCTTTGAATGAGGGAACAGCAGCTCACGACATTAGGTTTTGCACTGTTAGCATGAAGATGTTTATTATGGAAGACCCATTTGAAAGTGACTTTTTTTCTAATCCCAGTAAGAGAGTATTATAAGATTATTCTAATTTGCCCCACAGACTATACTTAGACTCAGAAAATGTCAGTGATAGTGGTGAGAGGAAAATATAAAATCAACAATTGTGGAGTGAGGAAGTGATGATTAATTTAACAGAGAATTAACTTGTTTGCACCTTAAAAGGACTGGCAGGGAGAATCTTAGAGAATTAAAAAGTTGACCTTGTTTTCCTGAGTGTGAATGATGCTAAAACCTTACATGCCTAAAGTGAATGGTTAAAGCAGATTTCCACACAAAATAACCTATATTTTATTATTTCTAAAATATCTAGTGATCAATTTCGGGAAAATGCACAATTATTTGACTTGTAAAAGGAAAACTTTTTAAATGAAGTGTCCCTGACATTGAGACATGGACACATCTTTCAGGAAATTTGAAGTCAAATTAGTTTGATGTTTACACGGAAGTTGTCTTCACCTAAATAGTATCTAACATGTTTGTGATTATGCATTGCAGACAGTTCTCTAGAGCTGGGAATTCTGGTAGTCAGAGAGTGGGGAAGAGACAGGAAAAGTAAGAAGTTTGTTTTGCTTTTTGCAAAAGCATCACTACCATTTGTAGGTCTATCTCATTAATGTTAAATAAAATCATGTGAAAATAATACAGTAAGTAAACCGTCCTAGTTTTGTTTTAAGGACTAAATTGGTTTTCCTGATGACGGTTTCATATGTATGAGGCCTATTCTCTCCTTACGTCCATTCATTTCCTCAAATGGTTTTGAGTAGCAATATATAGTATATAGAAAAGCTAAGAACATCCTAAAGTTTGTAGTAAGAAATTATGGACTTAATCAGCACAAAGTGTGACTTCAAAGGCTATGTTTCATGAAGACTTTTACTTTTTTCCCAAATGTCAGATCCTTGAATCTTCAAGTTGACTTTTATGTGTTCTTGAGCTTTTACGATATTTGATTTACTAAATGATTTGCTTTTAAATGCAGTCGTCTCTCAGTAAGCCTGCTTATTTATGAAACAGTTTTGATCTTAAGTTAGATTCTTCCCTCCCTCACCATGGTCTTTTTGTTTGGGTCCTTTTAGAAGAGAAAACTGGTTATAACGTCTGCCTAAGGAAACAGATGACCCAAACACAAATCTGATTCCCAGCAGAAAAAAAAGGAAAGGCTCAACACACAAGGCCTTCCAAAAAGGAGATCAATCATTTGTGAATGGCCGTTCTCCTCGCCATCAGCATGACGGAAAGTTGGCTGTATTTAGAGACTTATCACTAAATCCTGTGTGTTGTGCCAACTTCCTTTAAAGTCTGAAGTGACCTCCTCTGAATATTTAAAGCGAGCCCAGAAAAATAATAATAATAAGGAAAAGAAAGAAGTGAAAGATCTTGATGTTCTTCTGACACTTGACTCTGTTGCTTTGTCTCTCCTGGAAGCTAAGCGAAGCCAGTCTATCAGCAACTGTGCCCACCTCTCTGAGGCTTTGCCCGCCACTAAAAGCGTCCCACTCCTCCTCCACACCGTGAGCGCGCTCTTCCCCGGTTTCTCTTACTCTTCTTGCTCCCACAGGCTGTCAGGTACTGTAATACTGTCTCTTCTGTCCTGCTGTGTCCCTGGGGTGCTCCCGCTTGCTTGCTCGCCCCTGGGTCTGCCGTCATTTGTTAATATCCCTGCCTCACGCATGTGTGCCTGGCCATTGCACTTGGCGTTTGTTTTCAAAGAATATCAATTGTTTCTAGGTGGTTCGACGCTCAGTCGCAATTAAATAGTCAAGCAGAATTCTCTGCATCTGGGCTTTGCATTCTGAGCTGAGAACCATACTTTTTTTCTTGGAATATAATTGCTTTATAATGTGTTAGTTTCTGCTGTACAATGAAGTGAATCAGCTATGTATATACATATATCCCCTCCCTACTGGACTTCCTCCTGCTCCCCCCGACCCCTCTGTGTCATCACAGAGCACCAGGCTGAGTTCCTTATTTTATACAGCAGGTTCCCACTGTCTGTTTTACACACAGTAGCATATACATGTCAATGCTGCTCTCTCAATTCATCCCACCCTCCCCTTCTCCCACTGTGTCCACATGTCCAGAGAACCATAGTTTTTAAGAGGGGAAAACAGTAATTCCAGCCTTGTGTGCCTTGTATATGGAGCCTATAGGGTGGAAGGGAATCTTCATAAAATTCTACAACGGTTCTGAGCCTGCCAGTGTTAGAGTGTTTGCTGGGCCTCCCTCAGAATGAATGAACTGGAAAAGTTATGCAGGCTAGAGTTCCTTGGAGTGAATAAATCATATTAATGTATAAAATAATGATCAGTTTACATGGATTCATACTGATTATTGAGTATGAAAAATAACAATGAGTAGTAAAAACAATTTGAGTAAAAAAAATAACAATGGTGAAAATTGCTAATTTCCAAAAGAGTGTTATTCCAGGCCTTTAGCCAGTTAGAATTGAGTTCAGCTACGTATTGTTTATATACTTGCCCTTTCTGGTTTATTAAGATGTTGTTGCATCAAAAGTAATTATTAGCATGGACACCTCAGCAAAAGGATTTATAGTGAATAATTAGGTCTGTGTCTACTTGTTTCTCTGTGATCCCAAAAATGAATCTTCTTGCTGAAGAGGGAAATGTTTTCATGTCCTTTTGGTCTCAGAAAGATAGTATTATAGATTAATATCTATTTAATATTGGAGATAGCTTAATTGTGGCTTTGAGTGGCAATAAATCATGTCATACTCTGGTTTAGCAAAGCAACATACCCCTGATAAATACATAAGATTTACTTATGTCTAGAATATAATAGAAGAATAAGAACTGCGTTTCTTAGAAAGCTCTTTTTGTCTGGTAAATACTGAAGGTGGAAAATAGTAAGAATGGTACATGAGAAGATGGCCGCCAGTCAGTTAAATCACTGATGAACATTAACTGCTTCACAATTTAGTTAAAAAACAATACTCCTACCTGGAGATGATTAAAAAAGTATTTTAATTAGTTTTGCTTTCTATTTGGCTGATATATGCCTATAAGGTGAAAAGTTTTCCTTTTTCACATCCCATTTTTTTCCCCACCCCATTTTGTTTAAGTTTTTTTTAACTAGTTTGCCCAGAATATGTTCTCACAAATCTCTTCCTGTTAGTCATCTCATTTTGGAGTTTTTTTTCTCATTCATTATTATATTTTGGTTGACTCAGGTTCTCAATTCCCGTATGTATGTACACAGTTCCAACAGAAATTGAATAAGATTTCAAGCAGGGATTCTCAACTGGGGACGGTTTGCCCCCCAAGAACATTTAGCAGTGTCTGGGAACATTTGTGGTCATCAAGCCAGGGTCCTGCTCCCTGCATCCAGGGAACGGATGCCACTAACTGTCTTACAATGGACAAGGCTGCTGCTACTGCAGAGAGCCGTCTGACCCAAAATATCAGTGGCGCTGAGGTCTGAGAGATCTTGGTTTAGGGTGGAATGAAGCAGGGCGTGCTTGCTGTATGTTTCTGTGCCTACACCCTCCTCCTCCTGGTTTTACGGTGGAAAGGACCTAACGGTGACTTTGAGGACGATCTGCTGATGTTTCATCTGAAAACCGCCGTTTGCGAGCGCCTCCCTCGTCTGATGCCATGTCTTCTGCCCTAGAGAAGTGATCCACAGTCCCGAATGACTGTTGTATTAAAGGCCTGGGCCCAGAACAACGTGTATCAGTCCTCACTATGAGATTTGATGTCCCCCATGGGCTGGCCCATGAGAGGATTAAATGTGTGCTCCATTTTGAATTCTGGTGCTGGCCTGTCTTGCTGACCTGTTGCTGAATACAGATGTAGTCGGCTAGACACACATCCGTGTGTGCATAATACACAGACACTTTTTTTTTGGCTGTGCTGGGTGTTTACTGTACTCAGGCTCTCTTGCAGCGAGCACGGGCTACGCTTCACTTGCAGTGTGGGGGCTTCTCATTGGGGTGGCTTCCCGTTTTGTTCCTGTGTCCTCTGCATTGGCCGGCAGATTCCCAACCACTGGACCACTAGGGAAGTCCTACAGACACTTTTAAAGTTGCCCCTCTTTACTGTAGATGACAATCGGCTAACTTTGTGTTCTTTTAGGTTAACGTTTCTTGGTTTGGTTTCTTGTCCCACCAACATGTGTTTTAAAAATATAACCAATAGACTATTTCTTACCTCCATCCACTCTGATGTCTTATTCTGATCCCTTTGGAACGCCTTATTTAATCACACCAAAATTCTGGGACAGTCACGACCACCTGTATTCTGTCAATTCGTGTGAATAGCTGCATAAAAGAACACATTGGGGGTGGAACTGGCAGTTTCAGAGACTTCCTTTTTTTTTTCTCTTCGATGGAAACAGTTCTTTCCAGCTGTTTTGCACTTTTAACTGCTTTTATGTTCGGACATTTATCATTCTGTAGCACAGGCCATGCAGATGGTAGGTTTTATGTTTCTTTGGGGTATATTATCATGGTGTAATTAGAGGGTCATGATCTCTTGCTCCAAAGGAGACTTAACGGGGCCTGATTGAAAGCCTTACTTTGCTGCCCCTGCGTCTGGCTTTCCAACCTCCAGGTAGCACCGGGTTGTCGGGACGTGCTTATGAACAGGGTCCCCAGCGTTCTTGTGGGACACATCAAGATGTTGAATTGATTTATGTCTCTTGTGCTTTTTATAGGGTCAAGTTGGTTTGTGCCCAGTGTTTTAAAAGTTAGGAAACTACATGATTAATTTTGCTTGTGCAACCTTGTATGAGGAGTAAACAGAACCTGAAATTTTGGTAATTGAAGAATGAGTCTCAGTCTGTTTAGTAAGATGGATTAAGGAAGCCCCAAATTAGAGAGTGAATGAAATGTCTCTGAAAATTAGTCAGACGTCTGGGATAAATTGAAGTTTCTGAAGAGTTTGCACACTTAATTTAATCATGCCAACTCTTCTTTCAGTGTGGAAAAATGAAATTAGTCCTTATTTGATCATTTTTCTAATGCTTTGAATAAGCTTTAGAAAGCAGTGATTTAGTAATGGCCATTGCGTAACGTATCCTCTCAAGAAGCCAAAAAGTTGGTGCTTTTAGAGTTTGGGTTACCGGGTTAGCCCTGCTTGAGAGAATGCATAATCTGGTGATTCTGAGATAGAATTCAGCCCTGAGATAGAATTCAGTGATATTCAAAACAAAGACTGCATTAGACCTCCCAGCATTTGTAATGTCCTTTTTATGTAACTTAGACTGTCCTGTTTCTATTTTGCACATTAGATAATCCTCTGCCTTGATATTTGCATATCAGTGTTGTTGTTTAGTGACTAAGTCATGTCCAACTCTTTGCAATCCCATGGACTACAGCTCACCAGGCTTCCTTGTCCTTCACCATCTCTCAAAGTTTGCTCAAACTCATGCCCATTGAGTCAGTGATGCTATTTAACCATCTCATCCTCTGTGCCCCCTTCTCCTCCTGCCCTCAATCTTTCCCAGTATCAGGGTTTTTCCAGTGAGTCAGCTCTTCACATCAGGTGGCCAAAGTATTGGAGTTTCAGCTTTAGCATCAGTCCTCCCAGTGAGTATTCAGGGTTGATTTCCTTTAGGATGGACTAGTTTGATCTCCTTGCAGTCCAAGGGACTCTTGAGTCTTCTCCAACACCACAGTTCAAAAGCATCAATTCTTCAGTGCTCAGCCTACTTTATGGTCCAGCTCTCACATCCATACATGACTACTGGGAAAACCATAGCTTTGACTATATGGACTTTTGTTGGCAAAGTGATGTTTCTGCTTTTAAATATGCTGACTAGGTTTGTCATAGCTTTCCTTCTAAGGAGCAAGCATCTTTTAATTTCATGGCTGCAGTCACCATCCACAGTGATTTTGGAGCCCAAGATAATACAATCTAACACTGTTTCCATTTTCTCTCCTTCTACTTGCCATGAAGTGATGGGATCTGACGCCACGATCTTCATTTTATGACTGTTGAGTTTCAGTAGTAGTGTTAGTCACTCAATCATGTCTGACACTTTGTGACCCCATGGTATCAATGTTAAATGGTTTTAATTTGTTAGAAAAGAGCAGTAGCTACATCTGACCCTAGAGAAGAGGGACAGCCTTAACCAAAAAAAGAAAAGCCAGCAGGGGGAGCTCGAGCACTGTTTTAAAAAGAAAGGAAAAAAGTACCAAGAAAATGTTTCTGGTAGTCATTTGTTCATCTTTACAGAAAAAATATTGAATATAGACTTAGAACAAAATATGAGAAAAGGCCCGGAAATGTACAGTTCCAAATAGGGAAATTGGGTTTAACTTGTGGGATAAAGAGAATTTGCATGCTTTTTTTCCTTCACCTTCTTTCACATGACAGCCGAGACCAGGAGTAGCTCAGGGCACCCGCCCCACAGCCTGGCAGTTCCTGGGACCGGGGTTCACCCCGGTCCCCCTCTTCACGGGCCTCCCATCCCACCTTTTCCCATGGTTTCTGCAGGCTTGGACTTCCTCCACCTGAGAAGGCCCGATCAGCCTTTTTACAAAAGCAGAGCCTTAAAGCCACATCAGGCCAGCCTGCTGGGAAGGCAGAGCAGCTGGCCCTGCAGGCTCTTTATCCGTCTGTTGTCTGAGGACTGGTGGGGACACTCATGTTTGGAAGCTGTGGTCCCACGGCTGGGCTTCATCCCACCAGATGGCCATGTTCTGTATCCTGAAAAAGATGCTGCCAGCGTTGGCCCAGCTCTTATTTGTTTCTGCTCAGAGCCCAGAATCTAGCATCTATCAGCGCTTGGCATCACATTTAAGGGAATAAAGCCCATTCTTCCCATTGTCCATAAAGACTGGCAGGTGCCAGTTGTTTCTGATAAAAGCAGGAAGCTCTTGGGCTCCCTCTGCTGACAATGGATTTACAAGTAGGTTTGTTAACAAATAGAAGCCCTTCTCAGAAGGTGTCAGTGTCTTGCATAATTAGAATGAAAAATGAAAGAAGACAGTGGGAAGGATGGTGAGTGGTGTCATCTGGCTTCCTCTGCCTGATGCTGAGGAGTCTGGGAGCAGAGCCATAGGGGGCCTGGTCTGCCCTCTGGGATGCTGGGTGGAGCATGGTGTTTATGGATGTCCCATGTTTCTTGTGGGGAAATGAATAGCTCTTGACTCTTTAGGAGCAGATAAGGGCAGAAACAACGTGGAAAGACAATGCTGTGGGGGATCTGTCTGCTCTTGCTACCCTGCCTTCTTTTGCTTGTTCCCTGAGTGTAGCTTCTCAACAGTATCTGGATTTAGATCATGGCCCTGCTTCCCTGGTAGCTTAGATGGTAAAGAATCTGCTTGCAATGCAGGAGACCTGGGTTTAATCCCTGGGTTGGAAAGATTCTCTGAAGAAGGGAATGGCAACCCACTCCTGTTTCCTTGCCTGGAGAATTCCACAGACAGACCATGGGATCGAAAAGTGACAGAGCAAGTCATACTTTTACTTTCACACCTGGACGTTGGATCATAAGTGAAGGATCACACACATTTCACCGTTTTGAGGTCTGGGAACTTGTATCCATGTACTTAAAAATAGAATTTTTGTGTGGATAGTAAAAATAAAACGACAGCCCTTCAGTGAAATCCTCTGTTATATTTAGAATCTTCCTACATACAGCTTCTTGGTTGGGGTGAACCAGCCCTTTGGCTTGTGGCTCTGGTTGAGGGTTACACAGAGGAGGACACCTTGGCCACATTTCAGGGGATGAATCAGGTGACACGTCCAGGGAGGACAGTACAGGCTGAGTTTTCATCAGTCCCTTCTTAGAAGGACTGATTGTTGTTGTTGTTGAGTTGTTCAGTCATGTCTGACTCTGCAACCCCGTGGACTGCAGCACACCAGGCTTCCCTGTCCTTCACCATTTCCCAAAGTTTGTTCAGACTCATGTCCGTTGAGTCACCATCTCATCCTCTGTCATCCCCTTCTCCTCCTGCCCTCAATCTTTCGCAGCGTCAGGGTCTTTAACAATGAGTCTTCTCTTCACATTGGGTGGAAGTATTGGAGCTTCGGCATCAGTCCTTCCAAAGAACAGTCAGGGTTGATTTCCTTTAGGATTGACTGGTTTGATCTCCTTGCCTTCCAAGAGACTCTCAAGGGTCTTATCTGATACCACAGTTCAATTCTTCGGCACTCAGCCTTCTTTATGGTCCAACTCAGACCTGTCCATGACTACTGGAAAACCATAGCTTTGACTAGATAGACCTTTGTTGGCAAAGTGATGTCTTTGCTGTCTGGGTTTGTCATAGTTTGTTAGAAGGACTGAAACTATGACTAATGAAAATTTGGAGAAAACGTGATCCTAGGGTTATGGATGTAGAGTTCCGAGGCTGCACAAAGGAGGGTGAAGTCTGGAGGTGAGGCAGCGGTGGGGTCACAGGCAAGACCATGTGGCAAGTGCTCCAGGAGGGGAGCCTGGCCAGCATGGTGGGTGTGGAGGTCAACCTAGGGGCAGGGGGAGCAGCAGGAGGGAGGGAGCGGCAGGGTCAGGTGGGCTGGGCCTGCTCAGCCCGAAGAGCGCAAGGACTCCTAGTGGGGGTCAAGCCTCTGGGGTGACATCAAGGGGCCCTTGTTCACCGTGAGGAGCGTGAGCTTGAGCAGACAGTGATGGGGGCCTCGGGCGTCCACAGGGGGTGGTACCGTCAGATCTGGGTTGTAGGGGGGCCTTCCTGAGGCCATGGGGAGGAGGGCAGGGAGGAGGCCGATAAGGATAAAGCTGGAGGTCAGGGATGGTGTCACCTTGGGGCCTCCATGCTGCAGACAGGAGGTGGGGTGATCCAGCGCCTTGTGTTGTCTTGGGAGATTAAAATGAACCATGACATTCAGAAATGAGCTAGGAGGGACTTCTCTTCTCTAGGGGAACATGGTTTATCTTGATTCTAGCTGGGATCACCCAGTGGTCAGTACTCAGCTGTGGTTTTCTATTTTACGATGTACATTTATCGATTCTCCAAAAATATCAGTGGATCGTTTTTGTACTTAAGTGATAAATTCATGCTTGCATTTGGTGATATGTCATTAAATAATTGCAGTATTTTACGTTGGACAATTGAACATTTATCTGTGAAAAGGAATGATTAAGTTGAAATTCCCGCTTCCTTTCATCTTCCTTCCGGGTGTGGTGTGTGTGTGTGAGTGCGTGCGTGTGTGTGCGTGTGTGATATTCTGCTCTCTCAAGTGTAAATGCCCTGTCCCTGCATCTCCTGGCTCCCCCTCCCTTGGGCATGCCTGTCCCTGAAGCTCCTATGACTTACAGTTGTCAACCATTCTGCTTGTGCTCTCTCTGTTTTTTTTTTTTTTCTTCTTTGAATTAAAACACTTTGTAGAACTTAGAAGGCAAATGTACCCTTGGAGTGAAATAGAACTTCTAACAAACAGAGAAAACTTTATAATGTGAAAGCCGCTAATCCTACTGCATAATTTTTGTGGGGAAAAAGTATCTAGAGTCAGTGAAGTAGAGAAATTATTTTAAAATGTTTTGATATCCATCCCTGTGTGTTCTGTGTTAATGCCCACAGAAGTGGAAGAATACCTGCAGCCAGAAAATGCATCTGCCACCGAATCTGGGCCCCTGGGGCAGCAGCTGATGGTTCGGAGCGGCAGCAGCCCTGAGGTCACCGAGCCGCTGTGTCCCGAGGCCCCCCCAGGTATCAGCGTCTTACTCACGTGAGACTCTAGCTTCTGGCCAGGGAGAGGCTGTGTGTCGTGGGGCTTTTTACTTTAATCCTTGTTCTGTTTATTTCAAGGGAATTTACTTTAGAGTTTGATTGCAAGGATGTGATTTCTTGAATCACATGAAATATTTTCACTACTTATTTTTATCTAATTATCTTAATTGTGTGTGTGTGTGTGTCCTGTTTTCAAGTGTAGCATGTTTAAGGACTAAAAAGAAATCCAGAGTGGCTGGAGGAGGTGGGAGGCAGAGGATGTTCACTCCAGGCAAGGGAGGGCAGCAGGTTAGGGCAGAGGCCAGGAGGAGAGGGGTCGCGGGGTAAGGGATGAGAGGTGGATGGCTGACCAGACCTGTGACGTTTATTAGCAGCATGCAGATCGGCTGAGGTTGAAAAATGATAACTTGTATTATTAACGGTATGGGCTTCCCTGGTGGCTCAGCGGTAGAGAATCTGCCTGCAGTGCAGGAGACCCAGGTTCAATCCCTGGGTCGGGAAGATCCCCTGGAGTAGGAAATGGTGACCCACTCCAGTATTCTTGCCTGGGAAATCCCATGGACAGAGGAGCCAAAAGGGCTACAGTCCATAGGGTTGCAGAGTTGGAGACAGCTGAGCGACTGAGCACGCACGCACACCCATTAGCATTAATCCACACTGTTTCTCCAGCAGCAACCAGGGTGAAAGGTGAGGAGGCAGGTGGTTAGACCTGTGAACATTGACTAATGTGTTTACAGTGAAAATGCGTGTTAAGTGTGTCTGGTGATAGTGAACATACGTACTTAGTTTCATGAGTCAGGTAAACAGTCAACCAAGCCATCCTGTAGTCCTCAGTGTCAGGGTCATGCCATCCTCATCAAATGAGCAGGGTATAGCCCCTCATAGAAATTCTCTCTAAAGAAAAATAATAAATGCACAATAAAAACAATTTGAGAAATCTGTTACCTAGAAGGTTTTCTGTTCTCCAGAAGTCTTTGTGTAGGATTGTTATGATCTTTTTCCCTTAAATATTTGGTGGAATCCATCAGTTGCCTGGAGTTTTCTTGTCAGAAGATTTTAAAGTACTATTCAGATTTTTAAATCATTCTAAGACTTCGTATTTTCCTTTTCTTGTTTTAATTTGCATAAGTTTTGTGTTTTTTTTCCTAGGAATTTGTTCATTTATTTTTTAAAGACTATTTATTGGCCCCAGACTATGCATAGAATCTGATCTTTTTAATTCACAGTGGTAGGCTCGGTAGAGATATCCCATTTTCTATTATGGACACTGGTTGTTGGTTACTTCTCTCGCCAGCAATGCTGAGCCACTTCACGCTCCCTTCCCTGTCCTCTTCCTCCCTTCCCCGGCCTGGCTGACTGGGGCAGCTCTTGTCTGAGACCCCTTCTCCAAGGCCCCCAGACAGGCTTGTGGCTCCCCCTCCCGTCACCATGTGTAACATTAACACTCGACGGTGAAGTTCTCTGTGCATCAGAGACCAGGTCTGTGGAGCAGTCGTGATCCTTAGGCTGCTCACGTGCTGGGCCCTGCACTCTTGTTTTTACATGTCTTAGAATATCTAAATATCTAAATTTAACTATTGCCTATGTATAAAAATCTTCCAGTTTTACCATCTGAAATATTTCTGTTGTTGATTTCCCCGCTCCCTGCCCCCAAATCTCTAGGCCTAAAGCTAGAAAATGCAGAGAATGTGAGTTCTTCAGAGCCCAGGCCTGCTCAGGAGAGCAAAGGACATGAGAAGAAAGAGCATGAAGGAATAACAGTAAGATCTTTTCAGAGTACATCCATGTGTCATTAAAAATAAACCTACAGATCACTGGCACGATACGGACATTTACTAGTGGCCGTGACACTATGTTTTAAAATTTTTTTCCACTTAGATGTGTTTTAGGGCTTTGAAAGACTTGCTCACTTTCTATGTAAAATTATAGTCACATTACAAAAATAGAATGCAGTAAGCATGAAAACAGAATTTCCCACCTGGTCTGTATGTGCACTTTCTCTCTTTAAGGACATCCTTGCCTGGCAAGCAGACACTTAGACTCCCTATTCCTGGTATCACTTTAAGTTGTAGCCTTCACCTGACACAAGTTCACAGATAAATGAGATGTTGCAATGATCTGTTATGGTTTCTTTCTTTTTTAAAAAATGTAAAATGGCATTTATAGGTTTCTTAAAACACAAATGAAAAGTTTAAAGCACAAAATTAAAAAGTAGCCCTAACTCATTCATGCAGATAATTCCTATTTATTAATTAAAAAAAACAAAAGTAGTGTCTATGAATAGAACACCCAGACATCCCAGAAAAGTACAAAATACACACAGAAAGTCACTCCCTACTCTTCCCTGCCTGGAAGATATGAGTGTTAAATTTCCTCGGTCTTCATTTTTTTTTAACGGGCATATACCAGCTTTATACGTACGTTCCATTTGCATGTATATTCTGTGTGTGTATTTCAACAGTCAGATAAACACCCAGAGACCCACCCCCAGTGTAGAAACCAGAGCACCTTCAGTGCTGTTGCCGTGCCTCGTGGGCGTCGTCTTGGTCCCGCAGAGAACGGCTCTCTGCTGGCTCTGTCAGTCGTGTCTTTGCTTTCCTTTGTAGTTTTGCTTGAGATGTATGTACCTCTAAACAATGCATCCTTTAGTTTCCCTCATTTTTAAGCTTTGTAAAGGTGGTATTATTGCTTTGTTCACTCATTACCATGTATTTACCATGCCTACCATGTAGGCACATTGCCCTAGTTCATTGTTTTCTCTGCTGTTTGATATTCCACTGTGAGTAGAACACAGTTCACTTTTCCATTCTCTTGTTGACATTTAGCTTGTTCCCCCACCTCCTTTTTTAAAATGAGAAATGAAGCTGTGCACATTCTTGTATGTGTTTCAAGATCTACGTGTAAGATTTTCTCAACAGTATTGTCTTAGAATGGAACTGATGAATCACAGGGGAATAGGGTGCTCTTTTTCACAAGAGAATGTGTCTTTCTCCAGAGTGGTTGTATCACTTCTGTTTTGGCCAGCAGTGGGTAAAAGGTTTCTGTTCATCCACATTCCTGCCAACACTTACTACTGTCAGACTTAAAATCTTGGGAGTCAAGTGGGTGAAAATGGGATCTCATTTTGTTTTGCATTTCTCAGGTTGCTGATAAAGTCTTTCCTTATGTTGATTGGCCATATGTGTTTCATCTGTGGGGTGCCTACTGATGTCTTTTCCATTTTCCTGTTGATTTGTCTTTTTTATTTGTACTAATTCTTTATGTAGTCTGAATACAGATCCTATATTGGTTATGTTTCTGGTGAATTTCTTCTTCCAATGTGTGGCTTTTATTTTCACATTCTCTATGTTGTCTTTTGATGTTCTTAATTTTGATATTCTTGATTATCATTGTTATTACATTTTATGAAAATTTTTAAAAGTTCATTTAGGTATTTGCTTTTGGCTGTGCTGGGTCTTTGTTGTTGTGTAAGCTTTGTCTGGTTATGGCCGGGGACGGGGGCTGCTCTGTAATTGCAGCACACAGGCTTCTCACTGCAGTGCCTTCTTTCATCTGCCTGGAGCTGATGTTTATGGAGTGGCAGTAGGGATCCAATTTTATTTTTTTCCCCACATGGATAGCCACTTATCCTGGGTCCCCTATACTGAATTCATTTTCCTTTATTGATCTGAAAATGCTACCTATCTCTCATAGATACTGCATCCCAGATGTGTAAGGCTTTGTTTTGGTGCTTCTTGAGTCATTGGTTACTTTGTCTCTCTGTCTTTATACTGTAGTTCCCCTACTTCCTCCTCACCCCCATCTAATGGAAGCTATTTTTTCTGCTATCTTCTGTCTTTTGCTGTTGCTGTTGAGAGGTCTTCTGTCTATCCTGTTTGTTTTTCCTCACTGTTCTTCATCCTTGTCCTCCAGTTTCACTACAGTATATTTAGGCGCATTTTCTCTTGGTCTGTGCAATTTGTCCTATTTTGGATATTCTATATGTACCAGGCATCTGTGAATCATTGTTCTTCCATTGCTTCTGGAAAATTCTTGGTAATCAGGTCTTCAAATATTGCCTGTTCTTTATTCTCTCTCCGCTTTCCTTATGGAGTTCTGGGTAGAAATATATTTAGACTTTCTCATTCTGTGTTCTATGTCTCTTAAGCCCCCTTTCATATTTTCCATTCTCTTTGGCTATGTGGATGCGTTCTGGGTGATTCATCAGATCTGTCTTTCACTCAGTTCAATAATTCTCTTCTTATGCATATAGAGTCTGCTGTTTAATGGTCCCATTGAATTTTTTTGATTCAACAATTTTATGTTTTGCTTCTGAAAGTTCAGGTTAACACTTTTCAAGTGTATCTTGTAATCTCTCATGATCTCTTATAGCTTGCTCATTTTTGTGTGATTCCCATCTTTTATGCCTTTAAACTAGTCACAGATTGCAGTTCTGAATTCTTCATCTGATCATCTGAAATCCTTGAGGGGTGGGTGGAGAATCTAAATCTGGTATTTGTTGTTTCTAAGATTTGTGCATAGTGGGTTTTTTATTTCCTTTGGTGTTTCGTGACTTTTGATTGTGAGTTCCTAGCTGGCTGATCTGAATCTGCAGAAAACCTGGATTTCTGATACAATGAAGTTTCACAAAAGAGGGAGTGCTACTTTAATTTGGGACTCTGGTTACTTTTGCCACTGGCAGTGGTAATATTAGATTGATGCCCAAGGTAGCCCCATTTCACTGCCCTGGTTTCCATTTGCTTTCGGTGGGAGTGGGAGGAAGGGGTGGGTCCCTTGAAGGTTTATTTTACTTCCTGTGAGCCCCAGATTTTTATGTAGGTTCTATAGTTGGAGGATATTTTATCTTCCAGAGAGTCAGAAGCAGAAGAGCCTATATTCTGCTTTTCAATTAAGGAGATATCCTGTGTATATTCCATTATCATATTAGAAATATATGCTTCCCGGGTGGCTCAGTGGTAAAGAATCTGCCTACAATGCACTAGACACAGATTCAGTTCCTGGGTCAGGAAGATCCCTGGAGAAGGGAAAGGCAACTCTCTCCAGTATTCTCGCCTGGGAAATTCCATGGACAGAGGAGCCTGGTGGGCAACAGTCCATGGGGTTACAAAAGAGCCAGACACAACTGAGCAACTAAACAACAACAATATTAGATATATATCATCCTTCTTTAAAGCTAACATTTTTTTTACATACTGTTAATCTTCTAAATATTTTATTCATAACCTACTTATGTGTTTTAGCTTAATGATTATTCTATCCTTTAATTTTACATCTTAGTCCCTCCTTTTCATGTGTTTGCTTATTTGGTATTCATTCCCTTAGTTGGCTTATTGAATCCCATGATGTTTGTACACTCTAAGCTGGAGAGCCTTAAATATACTGTCTTCATTTCTGGCTCTGATCTCCATCTTGCCAGTCATGGATTTTCATTGCACACTTATGGTACATTCTCTTTAGATATTCAGCCCAAAGATGGATATTAAAATATCAGAAACTTTCCCAGTTCCTCCGTCCATTGTCCATCCATCTGCCTTTCCTCCCTACCTCACTTCCTTCTTTTCTCACCGTCTTTCTCATGGTCCCCTAGGTTCATATCCTTTTGTAATTTAAGTTCCACTCCCATGGACAGCACTTATATAAGCTCTTGTCTGTCATTCTGCAGCATTTTTAGAATTTATCTCTTCTTCTCCCTTTCTGTCATCAAAAGCCTTGTCTGCTCATTCCTGAATTACCATCAAGGTTCCATAGCAACTTTCTTCTTAACTCTATTCCACAGATAGTAAGTCAGCTTATCCATTTTGATTATGTTTTTAATCACAATCAGCTACTGTCTGGAACATACGGTTGCTCGTTTTGTCAATACTGGGTTGAAATTCCTAAGCCTGATGTTGGAGGCCCCCTGGCAGATGTGCCGCTTGTAGAAGGTGGTCACATTTCCTTCTTACCGTTTTCCCTCTTCTCCTGACTGCCCTGCATGGCCTGCTGTAATCGGCTTCTTTTCCTGCACGTAGAACTTGCTGATTTCTCAGTGCTTCCTGCCCTGAGCCCCTTCCTGCCTACTCTCTACCACCTCATGTCTGTAGCCTTGTTGAGCAGCTCTCCTGTCACTGTGAGCCGATCAAGGTAACACTTTCTTCTGCATACCTTTTAGAGAGAGTTGACTTGCATATTTTGCTAATGTACATTGTGATCATTTTGTGTAATTTGTGTACGTTTTGTCTTTCCACGCCAGTTATGTAAAATGTAGGGGGTGCAGATTGCCTCCCAGCGTTCTAGTCCCATATTTAACCCACGGTCCAGTGCTGGGCAGTGCTCAGGGAAGCCTGCTGCACCTGTAACAAGAATGGGTATGGGTGGGGTTTACGCCCTCCCTGCCAACACGCTGGTGACTTATACCTCCTGGAGGATGATATCCATTATGCATGTGTACCCAAGCAGAGGTACAGCTAGAACCTCAACATAAATGAGTTCCATGTAACTTGGCATCCCTCCTCCATAGACCATATTAATTGGATGCCAGCTGATAAAGCAGAAGTCTTAAATTTAAGATCTTGGGTAATTTATAACTCTGTCACAGTAATTAGTGAACCCATATCCTTCCAATGCAGAATGTCATTCAGTTTTTTGTTACTGTTCTTGCTGTTCATTTGTTTCTTTTTCTTTAGACATATGGACTAGAAACTTAACAGTCTTGTAAAAATTAAAACTTTTCTGTAACCAGCACAATCTTTCTTTCTGTCTGAAGATCTTAGTTCGAAGAAGCAGCAGCCCCATTGAACTGGATTTGAAAGATGACTCACAGCAGATGCAAGGAAAATGTCGGGAGAGACAGAAGAGTAAGTACCAGGAGATGTGGTCTGTGTTCGTCCAGCTTCAACATGGATGGACTTTGTTTCCTTTTGACTTTCTCACTTGAATGATATCATCTAAAGACATGATGTTGCGATATGGGACATTTTTATTTGTGGAATCCCAGGATAGATGGGTGGTTAGTACCAGTCAAACATTAAACACTACCCAGTTACCTTTGAGAATTGTCTTTCCAGCCCTGGGTCTTTCTCCAGGTGAAAAGCAGAACCAAGGCTGATGGCTGTTGAGAGACAGGCCCAGAGGGAAGAATGGTCTTCCTTCTGGAAGTTTCCCTAGGTTTGGAACACAAAGCTTCTGCAGTACCTTGACGTCAGTGGTATAAGTATTTAGAATTTGCCTGGGATGCTGAGATGTACCGTTAGGTACTGTGATATGCGGCCCTAATACTCTGCTTCCCTGAGGTCCTCTGCCATGTCCCCTCCTTCTTGGTTGTTCCTGGTGGAGGGCAGAGCAGGAACGCTTCAACTCCACCTTCTAGAATCCCGGGACAGGCAAAGTGAGGGACCTCGCAGGTGACTGGGCTAGCTGTCAGTTCTCTGCACGTGAATACCTGACAGTAGATTAGTAGCAGAAAGGCTGGGGGACCGTCAGCGGCTGACCCAAAGGGCACCAGGAGGGCTGCAGGCAGAGAGGGCGGGCACGCCGTCTGTGTGCAGCAGACAGGGGACTTAAGGGGCAGGCTGACGGAGTCGGTTCTGTGTCAGACTGAATAGCCAGGTAGGGCTTCGCAGCCTTTGACAGCATCATTGCACCATGACAAATCAGAACGTTTCAGTGCTTAGAGGGGGAGAATCTCTATTGGTGGGTTGTCTCATCCCCCGGTGATCTTAGGTGACTTGCCTAGGTTCATGTCTAGACATAGATTCTTCAGCCTGGAAGCATGAACCTGCCTTTGTAGTGGGATCAATTCCCATCCACCTGCTCTAGCCTCCCCTGTTTCATAGTTGAGTAAGTCGGGGTACAAGTTGTGAGGATGTGCTCTTGTGGGTACCAGGGGAACTCAGTTACTAAGACCTATGAAGAGTCAGAGCCCATAAAGGCAACTCACATCCACACCTGGAAGCTGTGTGTCATTGACCAGGGGCCCCACGCAGGCCCCGGTCCCCTGAACAATCCCCGCCGGGGCAGCTGCTTAGGTCCTTGTGTGCTGGGACCGTGGAGGTGCTCGTGCCCTGCCCTGGCCTTCTTGGACTGTGTCTTCTGTCATTCCAGGTGACAGTGTGAGCAGTGACCCCACTCTGGGCTGCAGCACCGAGGCAGAGCTGTCCCTGAGTCCCTGGCAGACCTGCGAGGAAGACCCAGATCTGAGCCCGCCTGCGGATTCTGTGACCAGCGCTGACGCCCACCACTGGTTACAGCTCCGGCCCACGGATGCTTCGAACCTAACAGGTAACCGCATCCTTCAGACGAGGCAGCGGCGTTCACAGGGTTTCCCAGGTGTGAGGATGCTAGGGCATCCTTCGGCACAGTGATGACGGGGGCTGCCCCCTCCCACATGGGTGTGCCCACCCCAATCCCCCCACCCCCCACCCCCTGGTCACAATCAGCGGCGGAATCTTGGTGTCCTGCGTGCAGAGGATTCTGAAACAGTGGAAGAAGAGGGAGGAAACCTATCGTGCCCACACCTGCTGTTCAACACGGGAGGAGGTGGCTGATATTTAGGCCAACGCTTTGCCATCCCTGACCAGATTTGCTTTACTCTGAAAGCAGAGAAAAGTGATTTCTCCAACTTACATGTGCCACGAATCCAGGAGAAGTTAAAGAATTTGAATACTTACCTATTATTGTTTTCTTTAACTTTGCCATAGAATCTTTGATGCATGTAAGATAAGTTGTGATGCATGTTATGGATCGGTGAGCCTGCCCTGAGCATAAGAAGTAGAATAGCTGCCCCACCAGTGAGACCCCCAACAGGGGGGCCCCCTTCTCAAATCCTTCCCTTCTCTTGTCATCTTATGTGAATACTGTGACCCTATCTGCAGTGTGTTTTTTTTTAATTAATTTATTTATTTTTGCATTTATTTAAGTTTTTCTGGGGTTTTTAATAACCATTGCCACTTCTTTATAAAGTGTTAACCACAGTATCTGTCTCTTCAAACAACCTGTCATTTAATTTTGGTTTTAAGCTTTTTAAAAATGTCGTCATATTCTGTATTTTTTTTTTTGCAACATTTTTCCCTTGAGTATTTGTAGTTCTAAGATTCATGAATAGGTTATAGAGCCGAACTTTCTAGGATGGCATCCAGGCTCTGCCAAGGAGTTGCTGGGTGGCCTTGAGCTGGTAAATCTCTTTGTCCTTCAGTTTCTCTTTACAGTAGAGTAGGGATACTAATAGTCCATATTATAGGGTTATTGGAGGAATCAGTGAGTGAGCCTCTAAGTCAAGCGCATAGAGCAGATTTAGCTCTTCATATGCATGCACACACACATGCACGCCCATGCATACACACATATCGTGTGACCCTGGGAAAGTGAACCTTTCACTTTAGGTTCAGCTCCCTGGCCTGTCACATAGAGGGCACCAAGAGAAGTTGGGTTTTTGCTTTGCTTGGTTTTGGTAAGAAAGTGTCTGGAGAGGCCAGTGTTCTGAGGAGCTCAGCATGGGAGGTGCCCACCACGGCCATATCCCTCCTGGCCCACCACGTTCCCAGGTCCATAGACATCCTTGGTGAGAACCGCAACAGCAAACCACAAAGCACGTGTTGAGTAAAACGTGGTATTAAACCACTAAAAATAATTTTAAAATTAGAAGTAAAGGATAAACTCTTAACTTAGCTTTTTTTTTTTAAACTAAGCAAACTGGTTTTCATAAATTAAAGTATAAATTTTAACCAGTCTCTGTGTTTTGGGAAATTTCTAATAAAGTAGCATAAAAACTTCATAAAATTTACATAGAAAAATGGTGTTGGATAAAAATCTTTTATCTATGAGATAGATAAGACCAAAAAGAACGATCTTAATGTGCATTTAATGTTTATCTTAATTACAACTGGAAAAACAAACCAATTAACTGTAAATGAATAACGCATTGCCTTATAATGCTGTAAGTGCCACCCTTAAGAGATAGTGGACATTTTTGGTCTAAATGTTCACCTCTGCCCATGGTAGAAGCCTTGTAAAGTTAATGAGAAAACAGTTAACGAAACCCATGTGCTTACTTTTATAACTTATTGGGTAGTAATTGGTGCTTCTCAAACTTGTGGTTCTTTCATTATAGAAATTTCTATAATATATATAATGATAATTTCTATAATATATATATAATACAAAATCATTATATATAGAAAATAAATATAATAATTGTGAATAATAACATCATAAATTTCTGAAGGATTTAACAGTTTACAAAGAACTTTGAGACATCCTCTTTGATTTTTATGGTAAGCAGGTCAGGTTGTACAAATTCTGTTTGAGGGGGTGGAGAAGCTGAGACCCAGAGAAATAGTGTTGTCTTATTAGAAAGTAGGCCCAGCATTGAAACTGGCTTCCAGAGTGTTTTCACTCCAATTCCAGAGTCATGCCCACTCCTTTCTTCTGCACTGCTGTTCAAATTACAACTGCCAGCCCCATTCAAACTATTTGAGAATTATTGATACATTTATGGAATCAGTGGCTTCTTTGGGTACAATATTCAGATTATCCAAGGGGAATCATCATCATGGTACTGTTGAAGACTTTAGTGCATTTTCAGTAAGCTGAATTTGCCTAAACAAGGAATAGCTTTAATTACTTTTATTGAAAAGAGAGAAAATTGGGTGATTACCTCTTTTGTCTGCCTTCTGGAAAGCTTAGCTCTGATCCCATCTCAGAGTGTCCCTCCTATACTCGGTCTAATACACTTGTGTGAGGTAATTTCATATGATGCTCTCTCTGCTGTGATTAACTCCTCCAGATACTCAGCTCTTCTTTGAAATCCTAATATCGAGAATCAGTACACTCAGTTCAATAGTTCATCTTGTCATCTGTGAAAAGGACAAACTGTAATATGATAAGGTTTACGGATTATCACTGTTCTGAATTTAACTTTCTGTTCTTAGGAGAAAAACTTCTTAATAAATGGACAAAGCAAAACTCATGTTACCCTGATCTCTAGGACATGCAAAGTGAGCAATCCAACAATTTGAATGTATCTCCATTTCTCACTGAATAATCCTACCAGTTATTAAATGCTTAGAATAATAAACTGCCTCTAAAATCTTAAATTCCTTTATCACTGGCCAGCTAGCAGTTTAGTTTTGTATTTGTTTTCTTATTTAAATCATTTCATGTTTTTTGGAAATGACAGTTAAATATAGTGGACTGCTTCAAAATGTGACTGGGATTTGTATGGTAAGATACGGAGACATGGAGGTGACTGTCATGAAGGAAGAAGGTTTTAGAAATAGGGGCACGGGGGCTTCCCTGGTGGTCCAGGGGTTAAGAGTCTGCCTTGCAGTGAGGGGGACAGAGGTTCGATCCTTGACCTGGGATGATCCCACATGTCGCAGGGCAACTCAGTGTGTGTGCCACAACTACTGAGCCTGTGCTCTGCCACGGTGAGGGGCCACTGCAGTGAGAAGTCCTGTGTACCACAACTAGAGAGTAGCCCCCGCTTTGCCTTAATTAGAAAAACTTCATTGTTCCCTCGGGCAACTGTGAAGACTCAGCACAGCCAAAAATAGTAAATTTTTGAAAAAAGAAATATGGGCACAGCATGCCCCATGGGAGGGCACATGGGGGATCACCCAGGTTGGTGGGGAAGTAGGAAGGGGGAGGAAAACATGGGCAACATCCTTTATCGCCATTTGCACAGGTAAGGGAAGGCAGGGCGGACTAAGCAGACTGCGGATCGGCTGGTTTAGATCATTTCAGCCGAATCTGAAGCACAGACACTGGCCCAGGCAGCCAGGTGCCAGCCCCTGCAATGATGAAGGCACCGGGGCATCCCCTTGTTGGTGAGAGCTAAACAGAGGAAGGTGGTCAGGACACCTGGTTTGGGATTATGAGGTTTGCATGTGAACGACATACTCCCTGGTGAGTTGTTTGCCATCTCTAGGAATTGGCAGCCCTGGGAGTGGCAGCCCCTCCTGGCCAGGGAGGCCCCAGATGCCAGAGTATCAAGAATACCAAAAATAAGAAAGTAGAATTGACTCACATGTAAGTTTTGTTCAGTTGAGCTTATGATTTTCAAGAAGGGGGTATTTATAACTCTACAGAAAAGCTATGACAGACCTAGACAGCGTATTAAAAAGCAGAGATATTACGTTGCCGACAAAGGTCACTGTAATCAAAGCTATGGTTTTTCCAGTAGTCATGTACAGATGTGAGAGTTGGACCATAAAGAAGGCTGAGTGCCGAAGAACTGATGCCTTTGAACTGTGGTGTTGGAGAAGACTCTTGAGAGTCCCTTGGACAGCAAGGAGATCCAACCAGTCCATCCTAAAGGAAATCAGTCCTGAATATTCATTGGAAGGACTGATATTGAAGCTGAAGCTCTAATACTTTGGCCATCTGATGTGAAGAGCCGAATCATTGGAAAAGACCCTCATGCTGGGAAAGATTGAGGGCAGGAGGAGAAGGGGACAACAGAGGATGAGATGGTTGGATGGCATCACCAACTCAATTGACATGAGTTTGAACAAACTCCAGGACCTGGTGAAGGACAAGGAGGCCTGGCATGCTGCAGTCCATGGGGTCACAGAGTCAGACACAACTGAATGACTGAAAAACAATAGCTAAGTATGGATATTGCTGCTGACCTCATCTCTTATTTAGAAAATAAGCTTATAGTCTAGAAAGACTGCTTTTGATGCTATAACAAATAAAAAGATTACTAAGCCATAGCCAGGACCAACTGAAGAACTTAGCAAGAGGACAAAAAATAAGACATTTATCCTGATGAGGACAAATAATAGGATAAGTGTGATGAGACTTATTTAAAGAGAGTTTTAATCACAGAGATAGACATGGACTAAAATAATGGAATATAAAACATATACTGGATGCATAAGGACATGGAGTTGTGGTACACAAAAGAGGCAGCCTTCTAGATCTGACAAGAGAAGGATGGGCTGCCCAGTCAAGCACGCAGAACATTTAGCCAGCGGGCAGAAAACCTCATACCCTGATTGCAGCCAAATTCCAATGGATAAATACTCAAATGTAAACAAGAAAATTTAAAAACTTTTGGAGGAAAATGTCTTCTAAAAATTCTAAGACCTTGGGGGAGAGAAGACTTTCTTAAAATGAGATAAAAAAACAACTAACCATAAGAAAGTGACTGTCATTAATTCAACTCCAGCATAAATAAAACTTTCTTTTCTTTGTCAGAGAGACTTTTAAGAACCGAGAGTTAGCAGAAACTTGACGGTTAAGGGCCAGCTTCGATGCTTCTTCTTTTCCAGGTACCTATTACATTGGTGATACTCTTTTTTTTAAAACATTTTTGGCTGCTCTGGGTCTCCATTGCTACTCACAGGCATTCTCTAGTTGCAGCGAGTGAGGGTTGCTCTTGGTCACAGCGTGCAGCTTTCTTATTGCGGTGTCTTCTCTTGTTTTGGAGCACAGGGTCTAGAGTGCGGGCTCAGTAGTTACGGCCCACAGGCTTAGTTGTCCTTGCACACGTGGGATCCTCCCAGACCAGGGATTGAACCTGTGTCTCCTGCATTAGCAGGAGGATTCTCAACCACTGGAAGTCTAGTGCTACATCTTAAGATCAGATTCAGTTGGAAGTAGTTTTCAACACTTTGCTTTAGTGGAGGAAGGGTCAGTGGTGTTGCCCCACTTCAGGCATGGAATTGCCATTGGTGATAGGTTGTTCACAGCTGGTTTTTGGCTCCAGGACAGTGCATGACGGGAGAGGATCAGTCAGTGAGTACTTCAGTTGGGGGATGAATCAGCTTTCAGCTGCAGGCTCTTGTTTGATTTAGCTGAAAACAACACATTTTAACCTTTTTTTGGTAGTAAAAAATATGTATGATTGGGTTTCAAAATCTCTCTTAGTATATTTATCCCAGCCCTGCCTTTCAATGTTGTTACTGAAATCCTTTGACCACTTCTGCTTTGAATTATAGCTTCTGCTTTTAATTATCCCTGTTACCTGCCACCAAAACTGTTTTTGCATGAATGGTTTGTCAGCGTCTGCCACTGCACACATTTTTGGAATCTCCACCAGGCTTTGATCTGTTTTGGAAATATCAAATGTTCTAAAGAAAAATCATGATGATAAGTACCATAAGATTGGTTGCTCAACTTGGAGTTCTTTAAATGAATGTTCCATGTCTGGGAAGCAGATGAGAAAGGAAACAGTGATGGTCAACACAGTGCCAACCTGCTGTTTCTCCACTTCATTTATTTATTTATTTTTTGTTTCTCCACTTAAAAAAAATTTATTTATTTGGCTGTGCCAGGTGTTAGTTGTGGCATGTGGGATCTAGTTCCCTGACTAGGGATTGAACCTGGGCTCCCTGCACTGGGAGCATGGAGTCCTAGCCACTGGACCACCAGGCAAGTCCCCTGTTTCTCCACTTTTTAATCGTCAATCGTCTAATTTTTCCTGGTCCCAGAATTAAGGTGTTTCAGTTGAGCTTTTGGATTTGTGCCTTTTCAACTCAAATGGGAAAGTCATTTTCAAAGCACTGGCCATGCTTCATGTATACTCCACCAAACCTACACAAAATCGCTGCCATGTGAAGTCGCCATGTGGTTGGCTGCCTTATTTTACCAATCACCAAGACTTATCTCATGACTAAAATCCTTTGGACACTTGCAAAGTTCTAAACTTCAGATTGCTCCTGTATTAAAGGCCTGTATGTGTTTGGGGAAAGGTGATATAATTTTGTTTGCAAGACTTCCTACTTTAATAAAAAAATATTTAATGTCTCTGAAGCATTTAGCAAGAATGAAACAAAAAGGTGCTCTTAGGCTAGCATACTAGCTTGCTCATGAAAAAGAAAATGAACTGTTTGGTATTTTTGAGGTGAACATGAAATTTTCAGAAATCTCTCAAATCCCAATTTTTAATTAAGCGCCGCTTCACTGAGGAACCATCTACATGTGAAATGTCAGCATCTGTTCTGTTGCTTATGCCACAAGTGGAATCATTTTGGGCAAAAACATTTCAACTCATTAAAAAATTTTTTTCACAGTAATGTTGAGCATGCAGTCATTTCAAATACCTCGAAAAGACTCCCTGTATTTTGATAATGTGATGGGGGATGTTACCTAGAATTTTATCACTGAGGAATACATTTTTGGTGGGGAAGGGGGATCTTTCCACAACAGAGAATGTGATCGTTGGCAGGTTGCAGGGAGATGCAGGTGGTAAGGTACCTGACCTCTGATTACTTGGAGCTATCACTCAAGGGAAATCCCAGCATGATTGGAAGGCTGAAGGCTGATCTCCACCTCAAATGGCTACGTTGTGGGGGTGATGCTTGGGGATGGAGCAAAGGTCTAAGTCACCAAATCTCCTGACTCTTTTTTAACCCCTTACAGGGTTAAAGACTCATTGCATTCTTCATGAGAAAACTACATGCCATATGATGCTGTTTGTTCACTTGGAAGCTTAGGTTTATTTGTAAGGTTCGTTGAAGCTTCACCAGACCTTCTCAGACCAACAGATGCTTGATACCACACTCATTTGACAGACTAAACATCAGGAGGATGACAGACGAAACATCAGGAGGTTTTGTAAAAGTCAATCTGAGAGTCCAGAAGGTCCACAATTTGGCTTTCGGCATCTGTGTGGGGCAGTGTGGGGGATTCCAGCATGGATTATATATGTCTCTGTAGTCGAGTATATTTATGACACTGATGTGGGAAATACTGATGTGTTTCACTCTAAGAAGAAACAGTGCTCCTGGTTTTGGGAAGGCTTTTCCATGACACACGTACCATCCTTATGAAATCTTCCGCTTCAGGGTCTTGTGCTCTTTCCATAATAAACATAATAAGCTGTTAGCGGCTGTGCAGGAAGCATGTAGAGCTGGCCGTGGATTTGCCCCGGGCTCCTTGTCACACTTTTCTCCTGCTCCTGGCTGGCTCTAGTCCTTCCTCCCCTTGAGTTCCTCGCATCCGTAGACTGTGCTTCCATTTCTGTGGTTAGACCTGAAAAACCCCAACAGCACATGCACCTGGAATGATGCTCAATGGTGGTGGATGTTTGTTAGTATCTTTTTTTAAATCAGCTTCTATACATGTACTACAAAGCAATAGAAAAAGCAAAGAACACTCTTTAAAAACATTAATAAAATAGGCAAATAGGAAAGATTGACCGAGAAAGAAATACTGGGAGTGAAAAAGGGAACAAAACAATAAAAACAACATAAAAATTAAAAACAATTCAATAGGTTAATTCCAATAGATTTATAAAAGTAGAGGGCAATTCCTAGCTTTACTGAAGCTTCAAATAAAAGAGAAGCTGTCTTTTTCAACCTGCTCCAGATATGTTGAAGCTCTCCAGAGTCAATAATTTTTCACATAAAAGTTTCAATTATCAGAATTATTTTTGAATCTAACATTATAAAGGGAACTGTAGGAAAATTAGCAAAGCTTTTCCAACACAGAATTCTATACTCAGCCAAGCTATGAATTTACCAGTCAGGGAACCAAGACTTTCAGACATATGAGGACACACTCCTTTCTCAGGCATTTAGGAACATGCAGTTCACTAAAAGAAGAAGAAATACCACATACCATTTTGTGATTCTGGTCTTACAGATGAGAAGGGTAAATATATGTTCACACAAAAGCCTGTACACATTTCTAGCTTTAGGTCTAATCAAACCAAAACCAGAAACTATCCAGTGTCTTTCATCAGGTGAATGGAAAAACTATGGCGCCTATGGATACACAAACCCCATGGATGAATCTCTCAAATAAATACCTTATGCTAAGTGAAAGAAACCAGATGGAAAGGCTACTTACTAAAGAACTCCATTTATCTTACATTCTGGAAAAGGCAATGCTGTAAGGATAGGAAATGGCAGTGGTTGTCTGGAGCAGAGGTTTGGGGAGGGGACCAATGGCATAGGGGCCCTGGTGGAATGAAGAGGAAGTTTCATGTCAGTTATGGAGGTGGTGTATGTGACAGCTACATGATCATACACATTTCTTACAGCTCCTTGAATCTAAGAAGGATTAAACTTGTTATAAGCAAATTATACATCCCACAAACCTGAGTTAACAGTGACAAACACCTCAGATGTCACTCCTGCCTCAGGGCCATCCTGGGCCACTTTTTCTCATGACTGTGCTTCCTCCACATCCTACTCAAGTTCTCCTTCCTCTCCACTGCTTATGAAGACCTTCTCAGGGTCTCCAGGAACTTTCTCATCATCTCTGGGTTGTCACCCTTCTAGTTGGAAGAATCAGAGTCATCTGACATTTCCTCATCAATCTCAGTTTCCTGTCCTTCCAAGTTGTCAGCCATTTCACACCTCATCTCAATTATTTTATTCTGAATTGTTTTACTCTGAATTTTCATACATGTTCAAGCATAGGTCATTTGCATTAAAGATAAAAGCCTGTAACAATGAAATAAAAATTGTGTTAACACACATTTTCCCTTACAGACAGCAGCGAATGCCTTGCTGATGACTGCAGTATAATTGCTGGGGGGACCCTCACCGGTTGGCACCCAGACTCAGCCGCTGTGTTGTGGCGAAGAATCTTGGGGATCCTTGGAGATGTGAATAATATCCAGTCACCCAAAATCCATGCCAGGGTGTTTAGCTATCTCTATGAACTCTGGTACAAGCTAGCAAAGGTATGTCCTGCTATTGTTACCTTTCATTCTAGTATGGTAACATTGATTTGTCACTTAACCTAAAAACTGTGTTGCATGTAACTTTTGAACACATTCTGGACCATGAGTTTAGATACTGAGACAAAGTACATTTGGTGATCAAAAAATAAATAAAAATACTTATAGCTTGGTCATTTTATATGTGTCTAGAAGTTATTTCATTTAATGCATAAATAAACGATTGCTATAGGATATCAAAGAATGGGATATTATACAATAGTTGTAGTTAGTCAAAAGCAGTACTGGTCTTACTGTACGGAATTTGAATGTAGAGAAATGCTAAGAAGAAATTTAACCTCACCGTCCACATGGAAAGCCATTATTAGTACATAGTCTTATTTCTGAGGATAGTTTTTGTAAAAGAACAATCTCTTGTCCTTTGTAAAAGAATACATATAATTTTCATTCTAGTGTTGGTTTTGTTTACAATATATGGTTTCCCCGTGTTAGTACTTTCTTCTTTTTTCAAAAATGTGATTTGTGTTTATACAGTATAACTCATGAAACCATTCCTTATCACTCGAAGTTCAGGATGACCTCTGCAAGCATTAAGATTGAAGGAATAACAAGGCCCTAGTTTTGCATTAGATCTAAAACCAGCACACAATTCAAAAAGACAGTAGATCTCATGATAAAAGAAATAATTGTAAATGCTGTAGCTTTTCACTCAACTTACAGAAATTTAGTTGACAGCAGCTATTTGACCGTGGAGCATGATATTGATGTGCCATTGGGATAAACTGTATATTATCTTGCCTAAAATTCTCCTCATTTCGAATCATAGATACGGGATAACCTGGCAATAAGCCTGGATAACCAGTCTTCTCCATCTCCTCCTGCCTTGATCCCACCGCTCAGAATGTTTGCATCATGGCTATTTAAGGCAAGTGAATATGTATTTATTCCTTTATTGTAATTTCCCCTTCCTTTCTGAAATTGAGTTTAAAAAATGTAATTGCCCAAGACTGCATGTTTTGAAGACAGGCTGGGTCTTACTCAAGCCAGCGCTTCCCACATCTCCATAAACAACTTTGTGGACAACTGAGAAGTAAATGAAAGGACAAAATGCATCTGCATCTGGGGTTGATTAAATCTCTAAACGTCTCCTTGGCAGGCGACGACGCTGCCTGACGATTATAAGGAAGGCAAACTCCAAGCCTATAAGCTGATCTGCTCCATGATGACCCGGCGCCAGGACGTCCTGCCCAACTCAGACTTCCTGGTGCATTTTTACCTCGTCATGCACCTGGGACTGACCAGCGAGGACCAGGTATCTGTGAAGCCTCCACTGCATGTGTCATGTTTCTGCAGATGAAATCGGGGTTTATGAAAGGACCCCTGAAAGTTGAAATTCTCCATAGTTTCGAGTCTTCCACAGGCAGGCAGCAGCACCAGTGGCCTTTCAGGAATGAGTCCGGGGTGTCTCATCCAGGCTGCTGCTCCCCTCTGACTCTACATTTCACCAACCGAATTTGAATTTTACTCTGTGGCCTGTCCAGTTTTGTGTGATCTAACCTCTGCCTGTTGCCAGCCTCAGAAATACTCATCTCACTCATCTTTTTGCTGGGGTTCTACATTAGATATTGGGTTATGAAGAAAATGACTTTGGTCATTTAAAAAGGTTTGAAAGCTACTATTTAAGGAGTTAGGATGTTCTCGAGAGTGACCTCACCTTAAATTATGGTTTCTGACATCTCTTGAAGGGGAAGTAATTTCTCTTAAAGAAATGTGATTTGGTGGTTAAGTGGAAACAGAAGGGCCACAGGAGCCACCGACAGTCACCAGCCTGTAGCCTCTGGCCTTCTTCCTTTTAGAAGTCCCCTGCTTGTGGGCGGAAGACAGGGAAGGGGGTGGGACCACTGGCTCTCGACTTACTATCTGAATATCAAGCAGGCCAAGTGACATGATTGGTTTGTGAAGCTTGAGATTGTCCTGGACTTTGCTTGGAGGATGGGTTTAGAAATGTGACAGTACTAGGATAGAGTAGGACATTGGGCCTGGAGATTAATGAGGAAGTCATTAAACAAATATAGTTCGGTTTTTTTTTAATAGCAAGAACTAAGATGGTAGCATTGGAGGTGGGAAAAAGGAAAGGGAAGAGTTTAAGAAATGTGAAGGCATTTAATTTTAGCACCAGGTCCTCTTGACTGATAGCTTGACTGGGTTTCCCTGATGGCTCAGTTGATAAAGAATCCGCCGCAATGCAGGAGACCCTGGTTCAATTCCTGGGTCAGGAAGATCCACTGGAGAAGAGATAGGCTACCCACTCCAGTATTCTGGCCTAGGGGATTCCATGGACTGTGTGGTCCATGGGGTTGCAAACAGTCAGACATGACTGAGTGACTTTTACTTCACTTCCTCTTGACTGCTTATAGGTTTGGGAATGTTTCAGAATTTACCCTTTAAATTGATAATACTTATCAGTGAACTTGAGTCATTTGTGAACTACTGAGTAGCCATCCTTTCTGTCTTTAGTTGATGCTTTGAATATATGATGCAGACACACAAACCTTTTGATACATGTAAGAAGTCATTCTCCAAATTTGCCAGCCTTGCCTTGTGCCCTGTTTAAAACCCTTGTGAAATATTCCCTGCTGGGCTTCCCTTGTAGCTCAGTCGGTAAAGAGTCTGCCTGCAGTGCAGGAGACCTGGGTTCGATCCCTGGGTTGGGAAGATCCCCTGGAGAAGGAAATGGCAACCCACTCCAGTATCCTTGCCTGGAAAATCTCATGGACAGAGGAGCCTGGTGGGCTGCAGTCCATGGGGTCGCAAAGAGTCAGGCACAACTAAGCGACTAACAACTAACTAACTTAACTTAAACTCTTTGAGCTTTAGTCATTGAGCTTTTCCCCTGAAGTAATAGCCATACTCTACTACTGTGTTGTCTCTGTCATATTCACTACATTTCCAGCAGCATGCAGTGGACATCTATAGAGTAGGTTGGACTTAGGTGCATGTAGAAGTAGGGATGTGTAAGTAGACTTGTTTGTACTCCTTGCTGAGATACATTGCAGCCATCATTGCGGATGAAAGCATGTTTTATAGAATGATGCAACCCAGGGCATGTGGAAGATTAAGGGTAAAAACAGGAAAGAAAATTAACTCACATATTTTAATGAGATCCTTCAGTGACAGAACCAAGAGAGGAAGGTGCAGTTAACAACTCTGTACCTTAAAGCAGCATTTTGCTAAGCTTTGCAGGAAAAACATCTACCTGGAAATGATAATCAGCTGTACAATCTCTGTAGAATTTTTGTAGACTTTAATACAAATAAATTTGAAGTCAGCTGTAAACACTGAGTATTTCTAGAATGAGTTTTCCAGAAAGTCATGTAAATAGGTGTGTTTAGAGTCCTTTCTATTTTAAAGCGTGTTGGAATAAAAATGAAACAGTAAAATGAGATGAGATCTGTATATTATAACATTTGAGAACCCCTAACATTATTTAAAAAATGGGATTTTGCAGGGTAGAAAAAAGTTTTCAAAGTTTATATGTAAAATTTTAACACTTTAATGTATGCCTTATTTTTGGTTAAGTTTGATCTTTTGTAGTTCATTTTAAAATACATAAACCTTAAATGATGGCCCACTGCTAGTAGTAATCCCACCATCCAGACTTCTGAGAGAGAACAGGGATATCATAAATCTCTGTTTTATAATTAGCCTTTTGTTTCGACCATTAGAAGCTCATGTTTTTATGTTTCATAGAATTGACTATTTTGCTGTAACCTTAACAATTATTGGTATATGTTTGAGAAGTGATGACTGTCTGCCAAACAGAATTACTCTAAATAAACTTTATTCCTTTGCCAGAAGTAAATTATGCAGAAGGCTTTCTAATGAAAGAAACTTTTCTCATTTAAGTAAGAAATGCCTCTGGTAATTAGTTTAACTTTTGGTCCACATGTCTAAATAGATCATGGTGGTTGCTCCAGAACTTCTATGACTTCTGGAAACACATGTTATATTAATTATAAAACGCAAAGAAAGCGTGTACTATAAAGAATACAGTTAAATTCAATGTCTTAATTGACAAACTATGCACCTGTGACTTGGACCATCTCATGACTCTTTGTCTTATAAGAGTTTTCAAAGTGCTATGCTTTTACATAGCCTGGGACTAGATAGCTTCTTTCTTGCAGAGAGAACCTTGTAAAAAATATTCCTTAGTTTTAATGAAATAAGTACTAGCTAATCATTTAAAAATTTTTAACAGATTCATTTTGTCTTCCAAATAAAATCCAAGATGAATTTCTTCCTCTCACCTCTGGGTGGCACTCTTGTCTGCACGATGGTGGTTCACCAGCCAAACAGAGCCTTGAGAGTTCCCTGGAGACCCAGTTCCCTGAGGAGCTTGGTGCTATGGCCTGGCCCAAGTTACAGATGCTTTCCCAGATCAGAAAGTAGCAAAACCATGTCAGCAGTGACTTAGAAAGTGTGGAATTAGAAATAAGATCTAAAATGTTAAAAATTCTTTTTTTCAAACATAAGAGCACTTACAGTAATGGGAGATTTATTTTTGTTAAAAAAAATTGTAAAATATCTCTCTGATGATGTTCTGTGTTACAGTCATATAAAGTAGCAGTTTCATCTAATGTAATAACAAATTGGTTACATAAACAAATACAGTCATTTCTGTATTCTAAAAAAGTAATCAGAATACATATACCAAACAGCTAGAATTCAAAATGTAGCACATTTCAAACCAACTGCTTTTAATATTGTTTGGACCAGTTACTCAACAGTTTTGTAGATAAAACCATGGCCTTATCGAGTGACATGTCCCACAGTAAGATGTGTATAGCAGGAGTTTATGGTTTATTGGTGTGGTGGAGAAAATGCTTTGAAATAGCTTTGTTTTTCCTTGACTATGAATTTTTTAAGAAAAAATGGATCTTGTGGCTGATTTAGAAAGTAATTAAGATGGTAAAGACTTTCAAAAATAACTATAAATTATGAGTAAGATTCAGGAAGGCTCTCGGGACTGCCTGGACTGGTTGTGAAGGGGGTCTTCTTGTTGGCTTCCCTCCGGCCTATTGCTCTGTGTCTGGGCTGGAGAGGTGGAGGGTCGCCATCTCTGCACCACCGCAGTGCTAGACCCGGGGCTGGGAACTTGTGATGTTGTCCATCGATTCTTCTCTGCAGTTCAGTTAGACAAATATCATGACCCGCTGTATAAATAGCTAAGGCTCAAAAGATATTGAGGGCATTTGCCCAGCGCCACACATGAGAAGGTCTGTGAGAGCTCTCGGGAAGCATGGCTTATTCCGCAGGGTCTGTCTCTCCCGTGGATTCAACACCGCACACGTCGGGCAAACAAACAGGCCTCAGCCACGTCCCTCCTCCTGTCTTGTCTCACCTGGGCTTTGTCCTCAGTCCTGCCCCCAACTCAGAGTCCTCCTCCCTTGGGCCCCTCCTCCCATCCCCGCCTGTAATACCCTCCCTTGCTCCCACCGTTCCTCACCAGCTTCTCTTCCAAAGCTGTTCCCGGTTCTGCTTCGTTTGTCCTAATACTTAAGCAGCTTTTTCACCTCATTCTCCCCCTCTGAATATGTGGACATGAAAGGAGCTAGGGTTTGGATTTATTAAAAACAGTTCCTATTAATTTCATCATTATTTAAAACATATGGACAGATCAATATGTGTGAAATGGAAAAGGACAGTTGAGGAAAGGAATGTTATTTTTATGTTTCTAAGAACATATATCAAAGACTGGAAAGTTTTCTTTGCTTAAAATTTAAGTAAACTATTTTTTAACAATGACTTACAGATTGAAGGTCTTAATGCAATTTGTCTGTTAAATACATCAAAGTTAAATTCGCCTTTAAATGTGGAGCTTACATCAGTGCAATTATGGTTGCAAATTTGCATATAGAAATTTTGGGAAATGAGGGTATTTGTCGTTTTCATCTATGATGTTGCATTGTTGTGCATGTGTGCTCAGTCGCTTCAGTTGTATCCGACTCTTTGCGACCATATCTAGCACAGTCCACCAGGCTCCTTTGTCCATGGGGTTCTCCAGGCAACAATACTAGAATGGGTCTCCATGCCCTCCTCCAGGTGATCTTCCTGAGCCAGGGATCAAACCTGCATTTGCAGGCAGATTCTTTACCACTGAGCCACCAGGGAAGTCGTGTTATCATATTTGGTAACAAACCAAAAAGCACGAGGCTGCTCCCAGGTGGGGAAATAGGTTTAGCAAAGTCTGCTGCAGCTCCGGACCCTCGCTATGTGAAGTCAGGATGCAGTCTAAGGGGTGACAGTTAGGAG